TTTTATTTGTGTTTCTCAAATACAGTGCTAGATGGCGACACCGTATGTGGTACTACATGTGAACTTCTGCTAATCTCTTCGGACAAAGCCCGAAGTATAATGTATTATTTGTGTATTTAACAATAAAAACATTTTCATTAGGATACTTAATTTTGTTTCAAAAGTAGCGTTAATTTTTTAAGAATAAAAATATTGTTTTCGCCAAACAGTATTAAAAATCTAAGAAATAGGACGAACAGCCGAGTCCACTAGTTCAGATTCTTTCATGCAAAGCAATTCAAAATTTCTCATAGAAGAATACTTTTTTATATTTATTATGAATCAAATTAACCAGCGACATTTGCTCACAAACTAACTATTGCATCTATTCAAAAACGGTAAGCACAAAATTAATTGGCATTTAAAATAAATGGCATTGCATTTATCGCTTTGCATGGAAATTGTTTGATTTCCGGCTTTCAGTCGTCTCATATAGGAACTACCACAATGCTCCACATCGTATATACAATTGTAGAACGAGCATTTCGATTGGCGGATGGCCGCGAAAGCTTCCCATAAACGAGATGGCATTCGGAATCACGCGACCGACTCCGAGGGCCAGCAATATCCGGCCACGGCAGCCATAACCCGACGGATTTATGTGACCCAGTTTATCTGGAGCCCTGATCCTTTTCGCCCTTCACTGCCACTTTGCTTGATCGCCAACGATAAGGTGCTTTCCCAATTGTTACGGTTTATAGCTCTTTTGATCTTGAGCCTTTGATGTTATAATTTTGATCATACCCATGTTACATGATAAACGCTTTTCAATTGGTTTCATTGCTATCTTTTCGAATTGTTCTTTTACGTTACATATTTTAAGTAGTTGTTTGCACTCTGCGTTTTCTTGGTTACTTTTATATGATACATCAAAACATATATATTTGATAAGTCAGCAATCTCTTACTAAAATTTTAATAGCGCGAGATTTATCAAACTGTTCACTATTTACAAAGCATTTGGAGTTTCATAATCTTGAAGAAACATCAATCATATTCATACTAATATTATAAATGCGAAACTTTAGATGGACGGATGAATGGATGGATGGATGTTTGTTAGACTTTGTAGCCTAACTGCTGAAACAATTTCGATGAAATTTGGTATAGATATAGAGGATAGTCTGGAAGAATACATAGGCTACTCACTTTTGTTTTTTCAATACCACACGGAAGAAGTCGCAGGCAAAAATGACTAGGTAAAATATACTGTCATATTAATGGCAATAAATGAAAAATATAAAACACAACAGTGGAACATTTTTCGAATTGATCCCGTAAATGTAAAGACGGTAATTTTAAAACACGCAGAGTAAAAGAATTTGGTTACGCGTCATACATGCCGATTGGTGAGTCATATTTCTCAGTACACAAATCGAATCATGAGAAAGAAAATCTTTGTATGAATTCCTCTTAGAAACGATTACGAGACGAATACATTCGACGATGTTAATCGTAAGCTATATCGGGCCTTGACATATATTAAAGGACTATTCTTTTTTATAAACTACCCCACTTTATTTGCAAAACTGTAAGGATTAAGTAACAAAACCTGTAATTTTGAAATTACTATTAAATATCGTTTAACCTAATTTGAAATAAACCAGTTGAAGCTGTTACTACGATTTTGGAGAAAGTAAAGAAGTAATTCGTCATCCGAGGATGAAATGACCAAAATACTGACGAACGACTCAAGGTTGTCGAATATAAAATGGCCGTATCTTAACCAAATAGAGTCGTTATCTTGTCGATACTCACGTTTGCCGGCTCGTGGACGTGGTCACTTTTCACAAGCGGTATGAAAACACAATTCACTGTCAGTAGGTCATCGGGTATGAGCGGTAGTGGGCTATGGGCTAGCACTGGCGTGTATAATTAGAGGAGCTTTGATGCGCGCGGCGCGACGTGGCGGTGCGACGGTTGGGCGGCGACTGGGCGCCCCGCCGGCGCCGTGTGCCGCCGCCCGCCCCTCGCCTTATCACAAGAATAAAATTTATTTAATGCTAATTTTACACGAGGGCAGCACCAGGGAAACAGTGTAGTAGACAGTGCAGTACTGCTATTATTTGAAGGCACGTTTACAGATAAAACATCTATCGCGACTTGTGCATTTGAACAATAGCGGTACTGCACAGTTTGCTGTTCTGCCTTATTGCTCTACATTCGTGTGAAACTGGAATAACGGATAATCGTCTCAGCGATGGCCTCACCATTCAAATTTTGCATTTGACGATTATTTTATTGATGTTTCAAGCGTTTAACCCTCCGGTTTGTGACGTTTCGCACGTAATAAAACCTATTAATTAAATGTTGAAATGAAAACTTTAGGAGAGAAAATCAATAATGATAAGCGGATTACAGACGTATAGTACTTTTTGTGATTGAATACTGAAATATTTGCAAATAACAGCTTTTTTAAATCTGACTTAAAATCAATTTGAAGTAAAGTAGAGTCCAAATTTTGTAAAAATAACAGTGAAGGAATAAGACTGACTATGTATAATCACAGTATCAAAATCTGTACATTAACATAGTACTAACGTTAAATAGTAAATTAGCTGAGCTTTGAGCATTTACAGCTCCTACTTTAGCCAATAGAGCTAAAGTCACGGCGCCTTTGAAGACATTCAAATGAATTCCACTGGAAAATTACATTACATCTGCACTTTAACTTTCAGAACCTACTTTGGTAAGACTCTGGTAGATTCTAGATAATAATTGAAATTTGGAAGAATACTAGACACGACAACATTTTACTTATGTACACACTTAGATATTAATCAAAGTGATTCAAAAACATATATAGAGTAGGTATAGTTGTCATATCACTTGAGTCATTTTTCACATAAACTCACTTAGACACTGTTTTGTTTGTATGTACAAAAGATGGAGCTTATAATTTTTTAAAATGTCTTATTACAAGTCAATACAAGGACACGAGGTGGCACTAAACTTGACAACTGATATAGTATCTTTCAAAGAGTACCGGTGAAAATTTGTTCACTATGAATAGCCATATCTATACTATTATAATAAAGCGTACACACACTTCTTGTAGCCTATGATGTCAGCAATTACAACATATTTTTGAACAATTCTTTTTTTTTAATAAAAAGCCCTACACTTACGTCACGCTTTAGGCTATATATATTCACGCCATTAAACCTTGGGGTGTAAACATTTTGGGTAAAAACCTTAATGTGGGAGAGAGACCATAAGTTGCTGCCAACTCAAGGAAGCAAGATTACCAAGGTTTGTCATGTCATGTCATTTTGACATTTGCTATTGATAATTTTACAAATTTAAGCAATAAATAAAATTTTCATAATTTCATGCGGATGAAGCCGCACGGGAACAGCTAGTATTTCTTAAAGGTCTTTCATACTAATGATCTTCCTTTATTAAATAGTTAGTTCAATTTCATACGTCATATAATAAATAAAGCAAACATGTTGAGGCAAACATCATAAATCATATCAATTTATAGCTAAAGGTCATCGTTCCTGCCCGCTGTGCCGGGATCAACCTAGATAATCAGTTTTGATAACCAAATACCTAAAGCAATAAATTGTGTTTAGAGAATTTTACCCAATTTTCAAACATTACTTATCTTTCAAAAAAAGTATTTCAGACTCTGTGTTGTTATGGATTTTTAAACATTTTAGGCAGAAGGTATTATTTTATCAACGACTTGCGAGTAATTTTTAGGTTAACTAATTTTATTGGGAGAGCTTTTACTTGATTCGTAATCCGTGAAAAATTATAATACCTTTGCCCACGACTTCGTCCTCGCGAAATTAAAAAAAAAACATTTATAATGGATACTTCTGTACATCAATATCTATACTATAATATGATAAAGAGAAAATATTTGTATTTTTGGATTTTTGTACCTATTGAAATATCTCAAAAAGTACTTGACCGATTTAAAAAATCTTTTGCCATTAAAAAGCTAGGTTATTACTGACTAACATAGGCTATATTTTTTACCTTTGTTTCGCACGCAGACGAAGTTGCAAGCAACAGTTAGTAATATTATAAAGAGTAAAGAATTGCATTTTTGTATGTATTGAAATAACTCAAACTACTGGGCCGATTAAAAAAAATTCTTTCACCGTTAAATATCTACATTATCGCTGAGTGACATAGGCTATGTTTATACTATTTTATTTCCGCGCGGATAAAGACGGGAGTAACAGCTATAGTGTTATATAAAATATAAGTTTATTGTGATATGCTTTTAGTAATTTATTATATAAACGTCTCGTGTTATCGTTTGGACCCCGCATCATCATAAAAAGGTCAGAGTGTAAGTAAAGGTGATCCCATCCCGCGACCCAATTTGAAATTTCTAGAAGCGTACTAACGTAAACCCTATTTGTCAATGTCGCTCCTGATTAATGTATACTAATGTCATTTTAGTAGATATTACTGATGGAAATAAAAAAATACTTAGTGGCTAACCTTACAAAATACTATTGATTTTTTTTTAATAATACTGATTGACGTTAGTAATTCTTCCAAGTTCTGGCATTTTTTTTAGGTTACATCTCGATATATTATATTTATACATTTTTTTGTGGTAGATCCCGCTTTAACATCTTAGCACGAATGGGCCGGCACGGTGTAATAACCAAGGCCACACAGAAGACAGGCGTGAAATGGAAGCAATTCCGTGTGTCGTCTGATGAGTGGGGTGCCGGAGGCCTAATTTAAGTCCCTTTCTCTTTACCGCCCTTTTCTTATAAGGAGAGGATGGGAAGGGGAAGTGGATTTGACGGTGGAGGAGATGCGTAGAAAGGGGCAATAGCCTCTTTATGTGCGTCTCCTCCTCCGTCGGATAAGGGTAGGCAACGCAGCTGCGATCGCGGATGACTAGGGGCAGCGGTCGTATCGCCATTTTGGCGGATTCAGATATTGCTTGCTCGTTTGCCACCTTATGTTATAAAAAAAAGAAATGTAAAAATTACACACGATTACACATATTTCGTCTGACTTAAACCATGTAAGTTTATAGTGATTTTGTATCCTTTGCATCATCGGTCAATTAAGGGTAGGCAACGCATCTGCAATTGCGGATGTTTATGGGCAGCGAACGCTTTCTTTTTTTTTGTTGTCGCGGGGAATGCATTTACGCACTGAACTGTCCGTGTTGCGGACGCAGCAGGGACAGTTTCGTGTGGGACTCCCGGCCTTATATTTCGGCCAGACTACCCACTAAACCCCGCGGTGCTCTTCTTCGTCCAACCGGGCCATGGCATCTACGTTAGTTTATCCACGACCCGGCTAGGGGGAGCCCCTTGGTAGGGGCTCGACACGTGTAGGGGGTCAGATGTTAAACCCCTCCCATCACCCTATGATGATGGCCCCCTCGGAACACCAGATGGGGAACATCCACCTCATTCGGCGCGACAGGACCCCCGACCCGTCGCGCGTGGCCATCTCAGTTCAGCCGAAGGGCCGCGACGTATCTCGCACGCCGGCGACCCCTCGCTGGAGCCCTACGGGGCAGCAGCGTTTCGCCTTTTGGCCTCTCTTTTGGCCACCATCACCTCGCGCGAAAATGAGGCAAAAGCGGCCCAGCTCTGTTCGCTGTCGACCATCGATCGTACGACGGCAGGCAGCGACAAATCCCGTCCTTTCACAAAGCGAGCTTGTGCTCGGCTGTGTCCACATCACCTGACGCGCAATGGCGGCATCCGGGAGCGGTCGCTTTCCATTTTGGTGGATTCAGATAGCCGTTTGCTTGTTTGCCACTTATTATTATAAAGAAAAAAAATCATAAAAAAATATATTCCGATATTTCCATATCTGCTGATGTAATAAAAAAAATTAATAAAATGATATGAATATCATAATTTTAATTTGCATATATTTACATCGCGACCGACATCGCGGAGAGTCGGTTTGTTAGTCAACAGTTAGACCGTGCGCATATCTGAAACTAAACTATCGCACAACTGTTTAGTCTCGCTTTGATTCCTATCAGCCTATGGAGTTGCGCACACTAATCGATTTTTAGTTGTGCAACTAAACAGTTTAATTGACTGCGGAACAATCGATAATCGCATAACCGTTGTGCGATAATTCAGTCAAAGGTGTTATCCCACTGTTATAGTTATCATAAAAAAGGTTTTTGTTTTGTTAAAACTATTTTTATTTTGTTTCTTTTTTTTAACTTTAAATCGAACGTTGGATACACATCACCACACTACCGCACTGTAACCGCCACATTTAGGTACACAAACCGGTTGTATATCTAAGTCTAGCAAAGTCTAAGTTTAGACTATAATCAACATTTATTTTCAAGGTTGTTACAGTGTCGAAGTATTAATTCTTGTATACACATAAAAACATCTGCAAGCAAAGTATAAGTCAAGACATTTTAAAATATGAATAAAAAAATTCATAACTTAAACTACTTATCGCAACTTTTGGTACAATTTCATTATATCATATGAAGTTTACCGTTATCTGAAGAAATTTCGCACCGTACTAACCCAATGGTTGATTTATTTATTGCATATTACACACAATGTTGCGTGCGTAAAATTTGAAAAAAAAACCAAGTCATGCATACATCAGAACCTTTCAGTAAAAGTCCCGCCAAAATCCCTCTAGTTTTTCGGTACAGAAACCAACCTCTAGGCTGTCAAGGAGTTCGTATACAGCCAAAAAGTTGGCATACTGACCACTATGTTTTACCTATTTGAAAGTATAAAAGTTACAGTGAAAAAGAGGAAGAAAAGCGTAGGAAGTGTAAACGATAAAGATGTATTGGTAACAGCGATTACAATTTAAACGAGATGTCGCCCGCAAACTTCGTTATCGTGAAATTAAAAAAAAATTTAGCCTATAATATGCCCATAAATATCAGCTACCCTTCAGTGAAAGTCCTGTCGAAATCGGCTCAGCCGTTTCGGAGATAACCGGAACAAACACGGCTTGCGTACAGACAAAAAAAAAATTAAATGCGATTTTCGTTATCAGCAATGCAAATGCACCATCTTCCCGAAATCCGGAATTTTTCTTTTGATATTACAGACACTCCAATTTTATTATACGAGTATGTATTAAAGATAAATAGATATATGTTAGTACGAAAATAAAAGTGCATTTTTGGCTATCGCGCTGTCGGTAACTCGATCTGGTACAGTGTTTTCACGGAATAAACGCAGTTTATCCGTGACTGTGTCTGTGGGACAGACAAAAAATCTGAAATCGTTTATTTTTAGTTATAAGGAGCAAAGATATTATATCCAGACACTCCAATATTGTTTTTCTGTATAGATCTGAATTTTGTACCAATGTGCGTTTTTTGTGTTGAGTTACACATTTTAATCCTCTTTGATTACGTCACAAATACCAAAATTAAAGTTGTTTATGTATGCATATTACAGATTTCAAATAGCCGACATCTTTTTCTACGATCACTTCTTGTTCAGTAAATGTTTCGTGCAGACGTTCAGCCCTAATAGTGTTGCAATAGATATAGTTAAATAAATAAAATAAAACTACAAATAAATAAAGATAAAAGTGAATGTAAGGAATTACAAAAAATATGAAAATAGTAATTTTGTTCTTAACCTTTTGCCGTGTATCGGCAGTGATTAACCAGTTAAACGGTAAATATAAGTGTGTATAATACACATAAAGCTTAAACTATAGGATCTATATAATATGTATAAAAGTGTTGTAACTATTCAAATATGCTAAAAAGATCTCTGTGATGTCAATCAACTATGGCTGTCTTTCAATAACTATTAATTTCTTTAGAAATATCAATTGATATCCATGTAAAAATGTGCGTTTGATAATGGTCCTTTCTTTTATATATAATTCAGCTCTCTGTATGAATTTCAAGTTTTACGAGCATATTGTCAATGTAATTATTTGACAAATTTGAGAACCTGTTCGAAAAACATCAAGTTAAATTCTGTTGCTTTTTTTCATTTGTTTCAATTCTAATTTCGATTGTGTTTTTCAGATGCAGAATATGCTACCATGCCACCTGTGTTCCACCTTGACCGATATAAATTGTGTGTGGACCAAACAGGGGGAATCTACTGTATGGTGGAAATCCATTTAGTAGGAGACAGTGACAACGATCTCTTAAGAATGATACATGTAAGAGTTACTTTACTCATTACACAAATCAAACGGCTTCTTAAAAAACAACGTAAAATTATTATGAACTAGCTGTTTACATGCGGCTTCATCCGCATGAAATTATGAAAATTTTATATTATCGTTACATTTGACAAATTATCAATAGCAAATGTCAAAATGACATGACATGACAAACCTTAGCAATCTTTCTTTCTTGATGTTGGCAGCAACTTATGGTCTCTTTACCACATTAGTGATTTTATCCAAAATATTTACCCAGTAAGTTTAATGGCGTGAAAATATATAACCTAAAGCGTGACGTAAGTGTAGGACTTTTTATTTTAAAAAAGAATTATTCAGAAATATGCTGTAATTGTTGAGACCTTAGGCAATAAAGAAGTGTGTGCTTTATTATAATAGTATAGATTTATTAGTTACCGATATATCGATTAAATAAAAAAACAAACTCCGAGTTTGTTCTGTTGCATACAAGATCAATACAATACTATTTTTTCATTGTCTAAATCTTACAGGAATACAGTGAACGGAAGGAAACTCATTTCAATCATTCACGGCTGCATTATGGTATTTGTTTTACAAAAATGTGCAAAGACTATATAAAAACAGAAGAAGCAGATTCAAAAGATTTGCTTTTAGTAATCGAACAATGTTTGAATGCATCATTTTGGGACCAATACAAGTTGAAAACTAAAATAGATGAAGATACGATATGCCACAGTAAAGACCAGAGTTACTCTACAGAGCCAATAGATGTAGTGGTTGCAGTTTTATGTTTATGTATATTGTTGTTAAATGCAGCTGGAAGTATTTACGATACAATAATTGTAAAAAGAAATCATTCGGGTAAATATTTAAATAGCATTTTCTTTGCAAACCGTCGAGGGAATTTGCCTCGGTTATTCTGTCATCTTCAAATTGTTCGTAACAAAACTACATACTTGTTCGACAGGCAATAAGTGGCTGTTATGCTTTTCAATCAAACGTAATTGGTCGAAATTAATAGAAACGCAAGAAGATCGACAAAATGGAATAGAACGCTTAAAAGGTTTAAACGGAATGAAGTATGTACAATCTCAGTCATCTTTCCGTTCAATTTTATTTTGAACAGCTTTCGTCCTTGTAAATTTAAAAAAATAACAAATAGACTATGTATTCTTCCAGACTATCCTCTACATCTATGCCAAATTTCGTCGAGATCTATCCATCTGTTTAGGCTACTAATTAAATCTGGCTGCTTATGATTTGATACTAGTTGAAATCATAAGAACAAGCATTAAACATTTTCTATTTCTTAAAAAAAAATAAACATTGTGAAGAAGTGTATTGAAATAGCCGTTTAGTCAAAGATATAGGGCGGATAAAAACATGGAAACTATACTTTATCATTTATAGTAAGAATTTTTTTACACTTTTCAGAGTAATTACAATAATCGTGGTGGTAATTGTACACTCTTTACTGCCCTTCGTGGTCGTATTAGAGAATACGCTGTTTTTAGAAAACGTGAGTAGATTGTTCAAATAGATGAACTTATTCTTTAAAAAATTGCAATGTTCTAGTATTGTCCATCAACAGTATCCAGTACACTTTAAACAGTTATCTGTTCAGTTCATATTTAATAAAAATTTAAGGTGTTTAGCCAGATTTATAGTTTGTGTTAAAAGAAATCGCTATTTTAATTGTGTACAAATTAATTTTTATATATACTCATATTACTTCACATTCATATTTATGCTAAGAAATGATCATCACTTCATATAAACATGGACAACGGTCCGGTTTTCATTTTAACTGCAGCCACGAGGCTGCTGGACGACCTGCGGTTAAAACCGGACTAGTATCAAGTCTAAAGGTCATCGTCTAGGTTCCGGCATGGCGGGCACAGCGCTTTTTACGTGGACTACTATTTAAATCTGATAAGATTCAGTGCCGCCAAGTGGGTAATTAGCGAAATCGCATTGTTTTTACACTCTAGCACAAACATACAATTGCACAAAGTGCTTATTTGCAACAGTTACGTTCTATAATCATTAATATAATTGATCTTTAAAAATTCTATTTACTCTTTTTCTTTGCGTGTTACAGACCTATAGTAAGATTTGGTACCATTTGCTGATAGACGGGACGGTAGTAGTTGAGACATTCTTCGTAATATCTGGATGTTTGGCATCGTACAATCTCCGAATGAAATCAAAAGAAGATACTGTGTGGAGAACTATACCCAAAAACATTTTGCTAAGATGGTTAAGGTGACATTCAGACACTTTACAGGCCCGTACTGATAATGATTGAAAATGATTTGATCATCGTTCTGCGGCTATGCGATGCCTCTGTCCTTTATCCAAGCAGTAACTGTTTTATTATATTGAAATATTTGGGCTTTGTTACACACTGATAACATAGCTTTTTAACGGTGAAGGAATTTTTGAAATCGGCCCTATAGTTTTTAAAACATTTCAATTTGTAATGATTCAAACATAAAATGTATAGTTAATTGTTATGTAATTAGAAACAATGTTTTCTCTTAGTATCACTTATTCTATCTATACTGAAGAAAACCCTAAATGAAGAAAACCCTTTAGGCAGAAGCGTAAGAGCGTGCGCACATCTGAAAGTAAACTATGGGACAACTGTATAATCTCCCTTTGATTCCTATGAGTTAACTAAACAGTTGTATGGGCTGCGAAACAATCGACAATCACCCAACAGTTGTGCGATAGTTTAGTTTCAGGTGTGCGCTTGTTTTAGTATATGTTGTACAAGTTTGTTTATGTTCAACAGGCTTACTCCACCATACGCAGTCACGTTAGCAATAACTGCTACATGGCTAAGATTTATGGGATCAGGACCGATGTGGCAAGTGTGTAAATTTGTTATTTTTTTAAATAATTGAATACATTGTATTAATAATATTAAAACAAAAGCTATCGTTCTTCAAATGTCTTACAGGCTCGTGTTAAAAATTCTCTATAAAACATAGTTAAAATACAAATACTTACTGACAGCGCGGCATATAACCCAATATACAATTGCTTACGAGTATATTAGTGATAGTTACTTTTTTGATTTACTTTCATCCGCGAAGTCACCACAGATGAAATGAGGATGCTTATTTCTAGAACGCAGGAAAGGGGCGGATTGTGAGAAGATCCGAGTCTGGAAGAAGATACAAAATTAATATTCCCAACATACATATTAGTTATTTGTATTTTGTAACATAAAAAGCAAAAGCAGAGTCCTCGTCTACATGTAGCTGCTACTCGTTGACGTACTCGCCTGGTGCAATAAGCATATAAGACATGCGTAAAGTGAACGAAATTCTGTGTTTCTTGTTAAGAGTATGACTTTTTTAACAGAAACTGATAGGACCAGAAATCGCAGACTGCCGCCGTGACGGTTGGCAGAACATGCTCTACATAAACAACTACTTTGACAACACTCGCTGCATGGCGCATACATGGTGAAAAAGATGCTATAGAAATATAATGAGGTAAAAGTGACTGTAAAGGTAAAAGTTTATTTTTACCCAGGTATGTGGCAGCGGATATGCAGCTGTTTGTGTTGGGAACATTCATATTGGCACTAACGAGGAGCGATCACAGAAGACAAGTTGTGCTTTGGGCTATCATTGTAATTTCTCTTCTCATACCGCCCTTACATACATACTTCCAAAATTTGAACGGTCACATTATTTTATCACCAGAGTAAGTTTATTTAATTTGTTACGCCTAAGATTATCATTCTCTCTTGCATCAAATTAGATTTATGGACTAAATAACATAAAAACTAATCTTTGAAGGAAATGTTTCTTTAACTAAAATTACTAGGTCCTGATTCTCATCAGATAAAAAAAAACATAAATTATACCAAGCAATTGGATGTCATATATTGATCCTAATAATAATGAAAAGCTGAGTAAAGTCTGTTCATCTTATATATTTTTATGCTACGTTATGTATACATCGCCCATTATGTAAATGTATATACGAGTATGTATGTAGTGATTAAGGCGAGATTCCAAGGCGCACGGCAATCAGCATCTCCCTTTTAAATTTAGTGTATGAAACAACTGTATTGTATTGAATGAAGAAATTATTAGTGTTCAGAACTAGAACATATCAATAAGTTATTTGCGAGAGCTGTCTGGTAATTCAGAAAGCTTTGTGGCTTTAATCTTTTGCCAGTAATGCGTATGACGATATAGTAAAATGCTTCTAATATTATTTTACAGGGTTGTTTTAGAGCATTTCGTCAAAGATCCTACCTTCAACCATTCGTACAAGCGCGGCCACACAAATATGACATCTTACATTTTAGGACTCAGCCTCGGCTTGATCATTTATAAATTGCAGCAGAAGCAGTTAAATGTTGAAAATTATAAGGTAATTCATAATCAATTTGCTGCTTACCCTACACATCTCGACGCTCGTATCATTTCCATAGCGTTGTTCTTTCTTGACTCCTAGAAAGTTCCGTCAAAAATAGACTGAAAAGAATTAACAGTTAAGTAAAAAGAAAAGAAAAAGAGCGTTCAGGTCCCATTAATATGGTCTTCGAATCGATTCTCTAATCTCTTAGGGGGTGTCGCCGCTGCTCCTGAACTACATCATAATGTCTGTTTTATTTTGACCTGCGACAATAAGACTTTACTGATTTGGACAAGTTACATCACTTAGGACAGTCAGACTAATTTTAAATTAATTCCTACTTCATAAAAAGATGATGATGCAATATTTCTATTCCAGAATTACAAATATTTGTACTGGGGAACATTTCCCATGATGATAACATTAATACTGTGTTGCGGCTCCTTGTACATGGAAGTAACACCTCATGTTGCAGTCAGAGCCATTTGTGCCGGCATATACAGACCTCTCTTTGGATTGCTCATATTCCTATTTATATTAGGAATGGTGATTAAACTTGAAAGTAAGTGAATTCTATTAAAAATCTAGTATTTCAATATTAGCATTAGATCTTTGTTAACACAACAAATACTTATTACCCTTTATATCCCTTTCGGTCTCAAGGAGACTGGACAAGCATATACTGAGAAAGCAATATGTTTTATACAAGTGTTTCAGCCACGAAAAATGATGATTAATCTGTCAAAACAAATGAGCGACCCAGATCAGACTGGTGCGCCCTTTCTCTTAAAATAATCCTATATTTACAGATGTCTATAGACCCATATTAGAATGGCGAGGCTGGACGTTAGCAGTCCGCGTGACGTACTCCGTCTACATACTACATGTGATGTTGCTACAAATTTGTGCTTACTCTAGGACTACATTAAGCCATATAAGCGTCTATGAAGTCGTGAGTTACTTGTAGATAGTAAAATCATCATCAGCTATACCCACCAAGGGACTCGGAGACTACCATAAGTTAGGGTACGACTAAGCCCTGTCCCTCAGGGTTGCCCGGAAGAGATCGCTCTTAGCGATAAGGCCGCCCTTGCGCATATCTAGTAATTACTTAATTTAAGCTTTGTTGTATTATTTGTGCAAAAGTATTAAATAGATAAATAAGCCCTAGTCAACCACGCAGGCCTACTGTAGGATGGTTAACTTCACACATATCTATGAATTTCCTTGCAGATAGGTACAGATTGCATCACGATGTTTTCCTTCATTTTGTACATTTGTTGTTCTAAAACTGAAAAACTATTGACTAAAATAATTTACTACTAGGATAATTGACTGTCTCATACACGATAAAGTTCTCAAGAATGATGAAGATTTTCATGTGAGTAATTATTAATTCTAGTTGATGTCATGGTGCGGATCAATCTGCTTTAGTTTCTTGTGTGCTATACCTCTTTGGTTACTCGTCGAATCACCAATTTCGCAACTCGTCCAATATCTAACGACTACAAGAAAAAAGGAGAAGCAAATGAAAAGCGTCGACAATGAGCGTCAAGGTACCACGAAGGTTACTCAGATGCTGCAATGACTTAATAGTATCTCTATACAAAGTTTTTCTGAGGTTTGTTGCTTGCTTTTCACCTCTAATTTCTCTATCAAAATATGTAAAGTCAGTTGTATAAATATGTATACAATGAAATGAATTTTAGAAAATTGTGTAAAACGTAGTAAAGACCTTCGGTTTGGAGCATAAGTATTTTACAATGCTTGCATTAACTTGCATTATCAAACACGTATACCTTCTAAACCTTAATTTTGCAGCTGACTGTAGAAAGCTCTAAAATTCCAATACATCTTCAACGCTCTGATTAGACTATGTGATCATAATTTTGATGTCGTGAAGTCCTTCATGTCCTTGACTATGTTTGTCGGGACATATGTTAATTTTGTCTATTTTAAGGAGTAATCAGCTTCATTTGTCGATCGGATTTTTACTTGCTTACTTTAAATTTAATTTGTTGCATAGGTGTAGGTTGTAGTTTTCAGTTAAATAATTGATTTATAAATACAACACTGTTTTTTTTCTATGGTATTTTCGCAACTTTTTTTTTCTTGTTATTTAGATATGGACTTATAATAATTAGTTATTAACTATTCTATTAAGTTATGTTTGTATTATTAAGTATGTGACATGTGTTGTCATGTTCTTTTTTTTAATTTTTGTCGGAGGTCTTGTAAATAAATAGTTTTTGTCATGATGAGAGGATTTATTTAATAAAAAAAAACATTTATTCCCATCATAATGCATTCATGGTGCATAGTTAAGGTCATCAAGGTGCATTAAGTGTTATAAAGTTCTCCAAAATTTAAAGACCACCAAAATTATAATAATTGAGAAGAAAAACGTTGACTTTTTCCAGTAACTATCCTCTCGACGATCTAAGAAAAAAAATCTTGCGACCAAAAACAATTGTGGATCCGATGTATTATCGAAAGCACAACAGCAAATTCAAAATCAAACAAAAAAAATGGGACCCATCTGCAAGCACTACCTTTCAAATAAAAAAAGAATTATCAAAATTGATCCACTAGCGGCGGAGTTATCCGTAACACACATAAAAAAATACAGACGAATTGAATACCTCCTTCTTTTGGGAAGTCGGTCAAAAATATACTTAAAGGAGGTTTAGGTTTAAAGATACTTTATTCTCATAAAAAATAAAATGTTTTGCTTACAAGAAAAATGAAATAATGTAAAATGTAATTACGAGCTTGCGTTTCAGTACATAATATCAAAACACAAAATTATACAAAAATTTACGGCGTCGAGTAATTGCCAAAACTTCACAATGGACACTAACTAAAATGACTAGATTTATTCAACTTTTTTCCAAATAATAATCAGGAACCCGCCACTATAATCTGCAGTCATGGAACTTTTTCTAGAATAAGTATCGATTTATTACGGAGTGTAATTATCTTTCGATAAAAGTGTGTGGCATTTGACGCACGTCTTTACGAGGTCGAAGAGCAATTTACACGAGTAATGGGATTTGTTGCGACGGAGGTTCCCTCTCATCGGGGAAGGCGCACAACTACACGCTACTTTCTCTGAACTCGGCATAAATGGATCCAAATACCTTATAATAAAGTCGTGTGATAAATTACAGACACCAGGAATTATAAACAAGGTAAAGAGAGAACTCAAACAATTGCTAACGCATATTATTTTTATAAATTGTATTGATTGCCGTACATAAGATTTTTAGTATTTTGTGAATAGTAGCGAATTAAATTTTGAAAACTTTTAAAGAATTCCGCAGAAGGTGCAGGCGTCCTTGAGCAACTTGTATAATTTTGATTAGGTAAAACAAGTGTAAGATAAACTTTATACTGATTGATTTTTTACATTTACTCGAATTAAAACAAATATAATATAAAGATATATACTTCGATAGCTGAAATTTTTTTTACAAGGAAGGAAACGGACTTATAGGAAGGGGAATAACATTTTTCCGTGATTTCACTCTCTCTGTGGGCCCATCAAACAGGGTTTTGAATTTATTTAGGGCAGATTTGGCTACGTAATCATTACAACTGATAACTTTTATCAAGTCTTATTGGATTATGAAAAATCAAAATCTCAAATCCTCGTTGCCGGCGTCAATGTTCCCGTCAAGTTAACGTGGGTGCCTTCAAAAGCAGTATGAATCAGTATTTACTGAACTAGCGCGCATCATCCTTCGACCACATCTTCACTTTAGTCTAGGTGGGATAGTGGTCAAGCGCTGATTTATAAATGATAAAAAAAATATACAAATTCGAACAACAAAATTTGCTCACACGCTGCGATACCATGTTGTTGAAATAGTTTTAAAGTTTTGCCTTAAAATAATTTCATTAATTATAACTATTTGTTTTTTGTAAATGGATAATGTTTGAAAATCAAATTGAATTAATACCTTCATAAAGATACAGAGTCAGCTTACTTTTTATTAAGTTTAATTTTAACATAGATAAAAAAAAATCGCGACACTCACAGTATAATCCGGGTCTGTCAGGAGTTGAATTACTACAGAACGTGACTCAATTAGTGAGACCAGTGGTATCAAGACAAAACCGCTCTCCATGCACTTGTACAATATTTGATGTATTTATTCAGTGACTTTATCTTACGACTCACGTACTTTCCAAAGTAAAACATAATGATCCTCTTTGATTATTAAATGATGGTATAATTAATAAGTTTCTAAAATTGTCATCAATTTCACGAAAAAAAAACTTCAGATTTATAATTATAGGTAGATAAGGCAATAAATAGGCATAGTGAGATTAAGTTTACAGTAATTTATTTTAATGCTTATCGTACATCAGATTTGTAGTATCTTGTGAATAATAATGAAGTAAATTTTGAAAACTCTTGAAGAATTCCGCAGAAGGAGTTGCGTTCTTGGGCAATTTGGATACTTTTTCATTGAATATATCAAAACGTTTCTGTTGTTCTAGTTGGTAATGTTGTGCTACATTCACCTCTTCGTAAAGTTCAATAATTCGTTTTACTTTATCAGGATCAGCGCTGCCATAGTTCTCTGCGAAGATGCGTTTTTGCTCAGAGTTGCAGTTCTCCAAAAAGGTTGTTGCTACCCACGAAAACTTGCCCTCTTGTATGTCCGTACCGCTTTTGCCTATGTTTAACGTACCCTTTTCGCTGAAGTAGTCTATCAAATCGTTCTGTAATTCAAAATAATACGTACATTTATATGCTTATGCATAATTTTCGGTTTAAGGAGATCAAACTATACATATGCAAATTTAACACTCTCCCTCCCTCTCTCTCCGGATCGATTCCTCATTCCTGAGGGTCGTGACCACTCTCCTTGAAGGATGTTTGTCCTGTGCGATTCTCTGCGACATTTAAAGTTGTGTCGAGAGTGGTGCATATTTGATCCGTCTCGATTTTGCCCGTAATAGTAAGTTTTTCTAGGTTTTCGGAGGATCGCCTAGCAACGTGACCGAAATACTCCAGCATAAGGGTGAGACATACCGTGGATAGGCGTTTAGTAATTTTGAATTCTTCTAATATTGAGTCGTTTGTCCTGTGTGCAGTCCACGGTATTCTCATCATTTTTAAAAACTAATGGATATTAAATGTTACATTCTTCTTTACACGCTATAGTGAAGTTGACAAAGCATTTATCGTAGTCTGTAATACTCTGATAGTCGTAGGTCTTTTATAATACAACAACCCGGTTAAATCATGTTTAAAAAATGTGCTCTTTCACGTAATGTAGGTTTTATCAGGAAATCTGATGAGAGAAGGAACAACGCTTTGGATCATAGCCTATAATCCTCAGATTAATTTCGACCAAATAAATCAATCAAATCCCGTGAGACCCAAGCATTAATTAAAGCAATATTATATTACTTATTATATTCATGATATTTGAATGACTTACATGGCATTGGACTAACACGCCGATGTCCAAACCCACATCATCGACGACGTCATAAGACTCTTTGTTCAGCTTGTTGTTTAGAGCTAGCCCTAACAAGAGCGGCGATTTAACAGAGTAGAAAGAAGATCTCAAGTTACCAATCTTTGTGTACGACTCCATTGTATAGTTATTATAATTTCTAGATCTCGAAATCGCTGCTTCCATATACTGACCGACAGAAGACGTGAAATAAACCTTAAAATAAAAGAAATTCAATTACAACTCATTCATTATTTTTGTTATCCAAATGCAATCAGTGGTATAAAATGCATTATGTTATTTGAATATTAAATTAAGTATAGTTGGTAAAAACCATTTTATTTTTCGCACATCGGTATTTATACTTCGCTTCTAGCTCTATAAAAACCGAACAAAACATACAATTATACAAAAAGACTAACGAACATGTTAAGATTATTGCATTATCTGTGGTTATAATTAGGGTTGTTCATGTCATTTATTATTTAATAGAGTAATAGACCTTACCTTATCATAGACACTTAAAATGTTTGCGCACATTTCACCATGAAAGTTTTGTCGTATTATATCATTGATGAAACTCCTCATAATGCAGGCGTCAGTGAAAGCAAAAAGACCCGTATCCTCCAACAAATGCCAACACGGCTTGCCCAGACGAGTCATGCTTTTATCTTCCAAATCGTCCCAGAAGAAAAAATATGTTTGTACCTAGAAAGGAACCGTATTTAAGTGAATTTATGTAAATTACTATTACATCGTCTCTGCTGTATCCAAGGATGGTTTACTAAAGTCCATATGTTATCAGATTACAGATATTGTCACAGGTTTTTCGACAAGTTCTACTTACGACCGCAAGATCGGTGTACCATACACCCAACGTAATGTATCTTGCGGTCGTGGGTTCGAGTCACCCATTCGACTATCGAGAATCATTGAGATTTGTTAAGATTATTCTTAATAGATAATACTAGCTGTTCCAGTGCCGCTTCTTCCGCGTGGAATTATGAAAATTTTATTAAATTGTTTACATTTGTCAATTTATCAATAGAAAATGTCAAAATCACATGACATGACAACTCTGGCAATTTTGCTTCCTTGATGTTGGCAGCAACTTATAGTCTCTTTCCCACATTAGGGTTTTTATCAAAAATATTTACCCCTAAGTTTAATGACGTATAAAGTATATAGCCTAAAGCGTGACGTAAATGTAGGGCTTTTTATAAAAAGCGCATCATTCTAAAATATGCTGTAATAAATGTAAATATGTTGCTGACATCTTAGGCAACATAAAAGTGTGTGTTTACGCTTTATTATAATAGTATAGATTATGGACTTGTTTTCAACTATCTGCTAATTTACTTAAAACTTACCATTTCAACTGTAGTAACAATTACTTGTAATTTGTGGATCATCTCGTCATCAATCATCGAGTCCTTGTTTAATGCTTCGTAAGCTAACACCATAAACTCGCCCTGCACTGGGTTCCTACCAATAGTGTAATATTCCGAACACTGTAAAACATCTCTCATTCAAATTATTTTCGTATTTTGTACATTGAACGATAATAGTTAATAAAAAAATTAAACCAACAACGATAATCATATAAACATACTTATATTATAAATGCGAATGTTTAGATGGATGGATGTTTGGTAGAGTTTGTAGCCTACACGGCTTAAAGTAGTCTGGAAGAACATATAGGCTACTCACTTTTTTTTTTATTACATGCGGACGGGGTCGTGCAAAAACTAGTTCAATATAATAGTAAGTACCTTTGACTAAACAATCGCAAAACTATTGTGCGATTGTCGATTGTTTCGCAGCCAATTTAACTATTTAGTTGCACAACTAAAAATCGAGTAGTGCTGCACCTCCATATAAGCTCATGGGAATCAAAGCGAGACTGAACAGTTGTGCGATAATTTAGTCGTAGGCACGCTCTAAATGTTAGAAAGTGAATTCACAAAGTTAAATTAAATTAAACTTATTACTTGATTACCTTTTTTATCCTTTCTCTCATAGCTGGTGTATAAACAAAGGAAACCTTTTCCAAACTTTGGTCAATTATTTTAGGAAAATAACTGTTGTATCCACTCAAAACAGTTTTCATTAACGGACTTTGTAATTTCCCATTGCATGTACTACAAAAAATACATTAAAAAGACTTACTTTGTTAAAAAATATTCAATTTAAACGAACAAGTCATAACATTATTAAAATTGCGAAATTTTATAAAACAAAAATTGTTATAAAAAACTTACTGGTTGGCAAAATTTCTCGTGCAAATTACAATTAACTTTTGCGGCAGCATCTTGACTACTGTCGTTTAATTTTTGGATTAAACATATTCGGAGACGAAACACGTTTAAATAGTTAACGCCACACCCCACTCCTGATAATCCGTCGCCTGTTGGTGCCATTCGCCGTCCATCGAGTACATCGAAACCGTAATAAAAAACACAACATAATAGGCATTAATAATCTACAAGCTTTAGCCCGTGAGTCCATATACGTAGAATTAAAAAGAAGCCTATGTGTACTTCCAGACTTTGATCTAAATCTATGCTAAATTACATTAAGATTCCTTCAGCCGCTTAGGCGGTAATCTTTAACAAGCTATTAGTATTAAGAACTTAGTCTAAACCTTCTTATTTAAAATATTAGTACGAAAAGAGATAGAGTACTTCATACAAGTTTGATATCTAAGAAATTCGAGAAGATTCGAAATATCATTTTGTATTGTAAAAGACCACACCTACCAACAAAAGGCAATTATAGACTAACAAGGATCAGATAGATTGCAATCATGTGCACCAACAATGTGTCGAGTCCCTACCTAGGGGCTCCCCCAAGCCGGGTCGTGGATAAACTGTCCCTGCTGCCTCCGCAGCATGGACGCTGTAGTGCGTAAATGCATTCCCCGCGACAACAAAAACAAAAATGTGCACCAATAATGTCATCTTAAAAGCGTCACATTTTTACCAATGAGGGAACGGCACTTTGTTAGTGAATGTCGACATTTTTGTAACCATACTATCTTGCTAATATTATAAATATGAAAGTATAGATGGATGAATGGATGTTTGTTAGAGTTTGTAGTGTAAACGGCTGATCGGATTTCTGAAGAACACATAGGCTTCTCACTTTTGTTTTTATACCACGCGGACAGAGTCGCAGATGAAAGCTAGTTTCATATTAAGTAGTTAGTTTGGCTTCGTTTTTGCTTGCTGGTATCTCTAAAATCTAGCAGGCGCCTCCTTGTCAGTATCATAAGATCGTTGTAGGTGCAGACCTAAAGTGAGGCGAAATGCAGATTTCGCCTCACTTTTGCGCCTCGGGTTACATCATACTTAGTTTTAAAAATATGGTTATAGTTTTTAATTAATGGTTATTATTACAAACAACATTCCTTTTCGATTCACATCAAAGTGGTCCTTATTAGAGTTCCACGGAGGGCATTGCTATGGCATACAGTCGCGGTAATCCGCGATGTTCCAATTATACCAACAGTAAAATGACGTTGTTTCTTACAACGAGACAAAAAACAGGTAGCAGTGCGCTGCGCAAACGAAGGAATAAAAATAAAAAACCAATTAACTACCAACCTTTTTTCGTAATCACTTTTAGAAGCTGCGTCCTATAGATTATTTCTCGTCGTCGGAAAAAAAACAAAAGGTTTAAGTTGTGAGACCGCCGAATTTCCGGGCTGTATGTGGGCTCTTTAATGATAATTTTCAGAATATTGCTTATATTATATCCCCAATATCTTTAAGAGCAAGCGCACATCTGATGACTAAACTGTCACACAACTTTTGTGCGATTGTCTATTGTTTCGCAGCCCATTCAACCGTTTAGTTGCACAACTAAAAATCGAGTTTTGGTGCGTCTCTATATAAGCTCATAGAAATCAAATCCCGACTAAATAGTTTTGCGATAGTTAAGTCAAAGGTGTTCGCGCGCTAATCGTGAGAGTTGTAATGATATTTTTATACAGATTCTGTTTAATTTAAATAATTTGAATACATAAAATGTTTGCGTAAGTGCGCATTTAAAATTATTACCTACAGGTAGAACTAAACTTGGAAGCTTCTGTTAGTATTTAGGTCAATTATTGACTTTGCCAAGTGAATCAATCTCATTAGTTGTCCTCAATGCAAACTATTTGTTCTTAATGCAAAGTTCTGACGTTTTACCGTCAACACAAATTTAACAAAAAAGTTTGTTACATTATCTATACTGATATTCTAAAGTGGAAAATTTTGTTTATTTGATTGTAATTAAATAACTCAAAAACTACTGGGCCGATTTCAAAAATTCTATTACCATTAAAAAGCTACGTTGTCAGTGAGTACATAGGCTATGTTTTATATTATTTTTTACTATTATGCGGGCGGAGTCGCGGGCGAAAGCTTGCATTTAATTTGTTATGAGTAGAAAGTATGCAGTATCTGCAAAATTTTTATGGCATTATATTATTTTTATTGAGTATACGGAAAAATCCTTTAAAAAGGACATAGAACATTTTTTACAGGGTATTACAACGCATTTACAAAAAATGTCTATATCTCTTATGACATATTTGTTGGTGCACGTCGGCTAGCCCGGTACAATACCAGAAGCCAGACGTGAAGTGAAAGCAATTCCGCGTTTCGTCTATATGATACGCATAAAGATGGCCTATCTTTCCACACAATTTTCCACTATCTCTTGCTACACTTTTCTTGTAAGGATATGATATAATGTAGAAGTGGATTTTGCGGGGGGAACAAATAGGAATCTGTCCTGTTTCTGAACTCCCGTTGGTCAATACTGGTAGGCAACAAACTTTGTTCTGAAGATTACATCCTCTATGACAAATACCGTTTAATAATTAAACAAGTTATTGTATACGAAATCAATTAAATATTGTTATCAGCGAAGAAAATAACAAAAGCAAAAAGCAGAATTAGCTTGTTGTTTAAAAATAACAAAAACAAAATGCAGAATTAGCTTGTTATTTAAAAATAACAAAAGCAAAATGCAGAATTAGCTTGTTTTAAGCGAAACTTAACAATTTAAACAATTTAATTAGTTTGTTGTTTAAAAATAACAAAAACAAAATGCAGTATTAGCTTGTTGTTTAAAATAACAAAAGCAAAATGCAGAATTAGCTTGTTATATAAAAATAACAAAAGCAAAATGCAGAATTAGCTGGTTGTTTGAAAATAACAAAAACAAAATGCAGTATTAGCTTGTTGTTTAAAATAACAAAAACAAAATGCAGAATTAGCTTGTTATATAAAAATAACAAAAGCAAAATGCAGAATTAGCTTGTTGTTCAAAAATGACAAAAACAAAATGCAGAATTAGCTTGTTGTTTTACAAAAAGGTTTTAAAACTGTTGTTGTTAATGTTAAATCATTAATCTCCTTTATTGCTAAACGTGATTATGCTAATGAAACCATTAATTAAATAATTAAAGTAATGTACGACTGAGGGCGCATAAAAAGTCCTTCGACCCTGTGTTTTTAGTTATTTTAATTTCAGATACGTTACAACCATGTTGCGACGATCATTCATCTGCACGAGGAATTTTGCTAATCAGTGAGTCTGTTTTTTTTTTAAAAACTTTATATAAAGAAGGTTCTTATTAAGTTTGTTGAATATTACTAAGAGTATTTTATATTGAAACTAATTTTGATATATATATCATATATTTTTAATTGAAGCTTGTGCTTGTAGTTATTAAATGTGATCTGATTCTGTCTTTGAGTGTGTTGAGTGATCTGAACTTTTGAGTTGTTATAGTTAGTGAGTAGTGCATGTTATAGTAAGTTCCTTTAATTTCTTCGATGTGCAAAAATTTAAAATAATTCAATAGTGTATGGTTTCGAAAGCATGGTAATATTCCGAGGCGTTCTCACTCTAATATGGTGACTGTATTTATTGTATTGAAAATAATAAACTAAATAAATAACTATAAAAAGTGACGGTGGACTCTGTTTAGTAATGTATAAAGTGCCCAACATTGTTAGCCAAAATTGAGATTTTTGGTTCGTTTGTTGATATCTAAATTGGCAGATCTTTTTACCGAGGTTTCCGTTAGAATCGCAGAAGTTAAGATATGTTTTTGGATAATGCATATTTGTACATGTAAACCACAATGGATAATATTTATCATTTCAGAGCAATTATTCAAAAGAAACATAGTCCTTTGATGAAAAAGATTTTAAATGAGTTTGACGATTATGTGCCGAAGGTAATCGATCAAAGCTTGGCCAGATTGACATGTATAAAATCCCAGGTGATGAAAGACAGAATTAAGAAGGTAAGCTTTAGCTTTAGCTTTTAGCTTAGCTTTAATAATAAGTAGGCCAAGGTTTAATTTCCAAACACAATGCAAGAGAGCGGAGAGACCTACTGAGGAAATTGTAGTGTATGGCTATAATGTGGGTAGTTCAATACTATTATATATTATGCTCATGATTAATAAATCAGTCCAATGCCAAAATTACAGAATGTAACTCGACTATTTACTTATTATAGTTATTGTGTTAATTGAACAAAATAACAACAAAAACATTCCGCCAAATAATTCTTTCTATTATTTTTTACCGTATTTAAAAATAAACAAACGGGTTTGTTTACATACTCGTACATAGGAAGAATACGACTCCAACTTAATCTCAGAATTGTCGGTTTAATCAGATTGTATTTAAATATCCACGAAATACATTACTCTACTGCCAAATGAACATAAAAACCACCATTAATAAAAAACGATTGGCTGAGGTTCTAAGTTCTAACAGATAAAACGCCATCTATTGGCTGCATTATGAAACAGAGATTTTTTTATTTAAAATAGATAAACTTTGATGTCCCTTATGTCATTATGTCTCTCTGGGAAAGACGAATCAAATGACACTTCACTCGTTCAGATAGGTTCAATCGTTTAAACACTAAGCCGTCCTAATGGAATTTCATAAATACAAACCTAGTGGTAGTGCCCACTTTAACATCTTAGCACGAATGGGCCAGCACGCCCGGTGTAATACCACGACCACTCAGAAGACAGGCGTGAAATGGAAGCAATTCCGTGTTTCGTCTGATGAGTGTGGTGCCGGAAGCCTAATTTAAGTCCTTTTCTCTTTACTACCCTCTTCTTTTAAGGAGAGGATGGGAGGGGGAAGAGGATTTAACGGAGGAGGAGATGCATAGGAAGGGCAAACATCCTCTTTATGTGCGTCTCCTCCTCTATCGAATAAGGTAGGCAACGCATCTGCAATTGTGGATGTCTATGGGCAGCGGTTGCTTTGCCATTTTGGCGGATTCAGGTGACCGCTTGCTCGTTTACCACTTTATGTTATATATAAAAAAAAAAACGTAAAAAAGATAACAATTTCAAAACATTACCCCTCATCATCAGTCAAATGAAAAAGTATCTATAACATTCCAGGCAGCAGTGTACTACACAGTTGGTCGAAATCCAGTGCAAGGAGAATTTATGGCGTTCGCTTTCGAATCTATGAACAAGGACTTGAAGTTAACGGATGAGGTACTACATCAGCTGCAAGTAGTCGCTACCACGGTCGAAATGGTGAGTATTAGAACAACATAAAATAATAATCATGATCTGTTAAAGATCAATAATGATGTTAAAAAATATGTTTTTGTTTTTATATTCAAAATAAAAGTATATAGTTGCGAGAATGTATTCGTAACATCATCGACATAAGTGTGCATTATTGGTGTACTTTCTGTCCGGTAGGGGCGCTGCACAAATCTAAGTCAAGTTATAATGTTCAATTGTTCTCTGAACGTCGTTTTCCATTAATTTTCTTCTGATAAAAGTAATGGAAATAATATTGTTACCTCACTCAATCTCCGCGAAAAAAACTGCGCCAACAAGATGATTTCGAACGGGTATTTCGAAGCTCAATATAAACTAAGGAATTAAATAAAACTTAAGTGAGTAGCCTATGTGATCTTCCGGACTATCCACTACATCTACACCAAATTTCATCGACATCCGTTCAGCCGTTTAGGCTACAAACTCTAACAAACATTAAACCATCTAAACTTTTGCATTTAAAATAAAGTATGATTTATTTTAGGTTCAGACATATTACTTCTTCTGGGATGACTTAGAAGATGGAGCTAAAATCCGTTTAAACAAAACTTGTTGGCATTTGCTGGATAATATCGGCCTGATGGCTTTTAATGATGCTTGTATCATGAGGAGTTTCATCGATGAGACAGTAAGACAAAACTTCAACTTGGAATTGCGTGACAATATCCTGAAAATTTATCTTGAAGTAAGTATCATCTCCGTCATCATCACCAGCTCACTATACGTCTCCACCGAGGGGCTCGGAGACTACCATACGTCACGTACGTCAACGTAAGGGTGACTAGGCCATAGTCAACCACGCTGGCCAAGTGTGGGTTAGTTGACTTCACACATATCTTTGAATTTCTTGGCGATATGTCCAGATTGCATCACGATGTTCTCCTTCACCGTAAGAACGTCGGGTTAATCTGTGTATGTGGGAACGCTAATGCAAGCTGGTATCGAACATGCAAATAGCTAGCACGAAATTTGATTTTGTGACAGCAACGTGCAAGGAAGGTGTGGGAGGGCTTGAGACTAGACGTGTGTCAAGTTTCGTATCCCCTACATCTCACATTACATTGGCATGTGTGAACGCAATTTGCCAGTAGATACTAATTGGCCGTAGCTGTCATACCAGCTTTAGGCATGTATGTAGTACGTTTATACTCGTTACTGTTAGTATAGTTAGAGTTACCCATTTTGAACTTGATCAAAATCAGGAATCCATTTAAATAAAACCTTTTGTTTTTCAGTTATATATGAACGCGTCAACTGGTCAACATTTTGACGCTGAAATAGCAAGATCCAAAAACTATGACAATTATACAATCGAAGGATACAATGCGACTAACACAATGAAATCAGCGTACTATGCCATAAAATCTCCGCTTCTCTTAGCGTTATCTCTTAGTAACAAGTTGGATAAGGATTCGTATGCTATTGTTGATAATGTAGGGGATGACATTGGTATATTAATTCAATGTCATGTAAGTACACCTGCGTTTATCCTTATAGTACTACGAGCTACTAATGTTTTAATACTACTAGCTTTTGCCCGCGACTTCCTCCGCTCGATTTGGAAAATAAAACATGAAAAGTGGCTTATGAGCCCTGTTAAAGTAAATTTTATATATGCCAAACTTTATCGAGATCCGTTTAGCCGTTCAGAGATACGTAGTAACCAACATTCATTCATCCAATCATCCATCTATGCACTTTTGCATTTATAATATTAGTAAGAATTAAGTAAAATGTATAATATCTTTTAAAATATGAACCATAACAATTTGTTATTAACTGCTTTAAAATCTATTTCCAGAACGACTTAATTGACTATTTCAACACTAAGGGTATAGTTAAAGGTAAGTGTGGATCAGATATTCAGATGGGCAAGTGCTCGTGGGTGACTGCCGCAGTATTAGAGAACTGCAGCCCGGCACAGCGACGCATCTTCACAGAAAACTACGGCAATTCGGATCCCGAGAAAGTTAATCGTATACTCCAATTATACGAAGAAATAAACGTAGAGAAGCTTTACAAACAAGAGGAGCAGAAACGATTCGACATATTCAATAGAAAAATCAACGAGTTGCCTAAAAACGCCACACCTTCTGCCGAATTTTTTAAGAGTTTTTATAACTTAGTTCATTATTATACCCAAGATGTTTCAACTTTAATGTACGACAAGTTAAATTGAATTTATTCCCTTAAGTAGTAAATAAGCACTGATTAAATGACATTTAATGACTGTTCGTTATTAATCATTATAAACCTAATAGTTATGGGAAACTTTACCAGCCATCTTCTCTCTTACCAATAGCAGCTGTCCTCCGTGATGCCTTCGCCATTGCCGGATACGTCACGTCACGTCATCATCAAGTAATCCGATCAATAGTGTCCTGTAGTCACAGTGATATCAATATGCCTTTAGGCATAATTTATTAGAGTGCTTGTGAGTGCGTGTAATTAATTGCGGAATTGTACTTAAGGTTATCTAACACGTAGAGTTATTTTTACGCGATTTTTTAGTGTAACACATGTCGCATATACTATTGGAAACACGACGTATGTATTAAAATAGCATCTCGACCTTGTAGAATACGATTACATGTATATACCTACAGAGTTCACGATTTTCTTGACTTAAGTGTCATGGATTTAGGTTATCGGAATTTTCCTTTTTAATGCACGTAACAAAATATAAAAATAAAAAAAACATTAGATTCTTGGTTTAACCTTTAGGTACCAAAGTGGGTTATCTATACTATTATAATAACTAATAACACTTCTTTAAGTGTGTGTTAGGCAACAAAGGTTGCCTAAGATGTCAGCAATTACAGCATATTTTTGAATAGCTCTTTTTTTTAATAAAAAGCCCTACACTTACGTCACGCTTTAGGCTATATATTTTCACGCCATTAAACTTAGGGGTAAATATTTTGTATGAAAACCCTAATGTGGGTACGAGACCATAAGTTGCTGCCAACATCAAGGAAGCAAGATTGGCAAGGTTTGTCATGTCATGTCATTTTGATATTTGCTATTGATAATTTGACAAATGTTAACAACAAAATAAATTTTCATAATTCCATGCGGATGAAGCCGCACGGGAACAGCTAGTTGTTACTAAAAATTGACGTAAGGACTAAAATCCTGCCAGTTTATTGACATCTATCATTTTTAAGATTAAATTCTGAATTACATGAGAGAAAAGACACGAAGTACTTTTCCTTAAAACTTAAGATATTTCTAAAAGAAAAAATGTCAAGATTCGATGTCACAATATATTAGCTTTCGCCCGCGACTTCAAATGTTAAGTACAAAAGTATAGGTTTTCTTCCAGACTATCCTCTAATTTGCCAAATTTCATCAAGATCTGTGCAGCCATTTAGACGGTAAACTCTAACAAACATCAATTCATCTAAACTTTCGCATTTATAAAATAAATAAGATTAGTAAAATTAGTTGACTTCACTTTTACCCTCAAAAGGGTCTGGGCACATCTAATTGCACGCACAAAAATAACTACAATCTTTTCAGGACACTGTAAACTATCCAAGTTTGATTTTTGCGCATGAGTGATGTATCAAATAATTTAAATGTCTTTGCTTAAAACTCGTGTTTATATTTGAGGCATTGATAATTAAACTGATCGCTTTAAACGGATAAGGTACTTATTTGAACAGGTCACATTTGTGCTGTCTCAGGAGATGATAGTACATAATGTTTTGACGTTAACTTATAACAGCAAATATGCAGCATTGTACTTAAAGATATTTACATATACTCCGAAAAAATAGTGGGGGGGATAGTATATAAATAAATCTGTAGCATTGAAAAACTCACAGTGGATTAGATATTTCTGAATTCAGCAAGATGATGTCACGTAGATTGATTTTGAATTGTTCAAAAATGCACTACCGGTAAGTAACAAGCCGTTCAATCTTTGCAAAATTAAGTTAATTCTAAGTAACCTTATACTTTCAGAAACCATAGTCAAGATAAATCCAATTCTCTCATGATGAAACTTGTCAACGAATTTGATAATTACGTCCCGAAAATTGTAGATGAAAGTTTAGCTAAAGCAACATTAATTAAATCTGTAGAAATGAAGAATAGAATAAAAAGGGTAAGTATTTTTAAATCTTCACACATAATTTATCAATGTCTAAAGTACCCAAGGACTATAAACTTCGACATATCTAAGTATTGCCATAAACTGAAACTTCTAACAATCAATATTGAATTTGTAATTCATAACAGTAAACGTCACAGTTGCCAATATGTGATTAACTAGCCGCCGACACCGTCCGTGCCGGATTAAAAAATAATATAATCCTAAGACTTTGTTTTCTACATCTTTGCCAAATTTCAGCGAGATCTGCTCAGCAGATCTGGAGATACGTATTCATCTAATCTTTCGTAATTATTGTAATAGAAAAATAGAAAGATTTAAGCAAGTTATATATGACCGCAGGTAACAGAATATACTACAATGGGACGGAGACCAGTGCAAGGGGAATTTATGCTGTTCGCTTACGAATCGTTTAATAATACCAAGCACATTAGCGATGAAATAATACATCAACTAAAAGCACTGTTACTTGCTTTGGAAATGGTACGTACAGAATTGTTAAAATATGTCTATTACACAAATGAAATAAAATCGCAGTACTAACAGGAACTGACTAAGGTAGAAGACTCAAAAGCCGCTAGTGACCCAGCAATTGATAATTATTTATCCAAGCATGAAAACACGTTACATTCGTAATCATTTTCTCACGTAGAAAAACCATAATGAACATAACCTCTTTTTTACTGGATTGCATCCATAAGATGACGTATCGAATATTCGTAATAAATCTATGCTTCGAACGAATTCTACTAGGCTTCTTTCGGTTAAAAAGTAAAATAAACGTTTTCAATTTTTTTTATTGTTTTATAGATGCAGAGTTACGCCATCATATGGGACGACTACGACGACGAATCAAAGTTACGATTTGGCAAGACGTGCTGGCACTTGGTAGATGACAACAACACTTTAGCCTTACTCGACGGTTGCATTATGAGAAGCTTTACGGAAGAAATCGCTCGACAAAATACCAAAGGAAAACATCGTGAACAAGTTTTGAAGATATTGAGCGGTACATATTTCACGGGCTCCGTGGGACAACATATGGACACAGTGGTGCAGCGATCCAAAAACTACGATAACTTTACAATCGAGCAGTACAATTTAATTAACACATATAAATCTGCCATTTATTCTGTGAAAACACCTATTCTGATGGCTTTAGCTCTTAGTAACAAATTGAATAGAAAATCCTTCGAGATTGTAGACGATGTATGCACGGATATCGGAACAATGGTTCAAATACATAACGACTTGCTTAATTACTTTGATACGAAAGGAATGACAGAAGGTAAAACTGGAACAGATATTCAGGAAGGCAAGTGTTCATGGGTGGCCGTCACTGTACTAAGGCACTGCACGCCGGGGCAGCGACGCATCTTCATAGACAACTATGGCAGTTGGGACCCTGAGAAATTCAGCCGTATACTACAATTGTACGAAAGTATGGATCTGGTAAAACTATACAAGCAAGAAGAGGAATCACGTTTTAATACCTTCTTTAAAAAAATTAACGATTTACCCAAAGATGCTACACCTTCTAGTGACTTTTTCCAAAGATTTCACAAATTATTGTGTAAATATACCCAAAATATATCAGGCTATATGTATGACAAACATTTAAAATTAAAGGTGTAAAATGTAATAAATATCGTACTATGTTATATTATAATAGGTGATGTAACTAAAATAAAATAAGGTGAAAATAAATCATTTCTTTTAAAGTTCATATAGTTATTTTATTATATGTAATTCTATGTTTGGCCCCGCGTAGACTTCTTAGTACTCTCAATACATTAACTAACCAGCTATTAGCAATAATATTGTCGCGACGTCATCTATTGATGAGTAGCGAAAATCATATTCGAGGAATAGTCGAGCTGTTTCCAGGATGTTCGATCGCCGCGAGCAGCGAAAATAACGTTCGCGAAAAGATGTCTCGAACATTCGAAACGGCTTCGAGAATGTTCCATTATGAAATTTATGTAATTCGGACTATCGAGAAAGTTCTGGAATGACAAATGAATAACGAAAAGAAGATCGAAATTCGGGGTATATAAGGGGAGTCAGTCGTGACTCGGGGAGTGATACGGTGGAAAGTGAACTGTGAAGAAGAAGTCCTGAGCGAATTACGAGGAAGATTAAGTGGCCGCGGAGTGAAAGTGCTAGTGAATAGTGACAGTGGTGTTCTGTAAAGTTCGCTGTGTTAGTGATTCAGTGTTTGCGTGCATCGTGTAGTCTTGACGGACAATTTGTGAGTGCAGTGAATCCCTGTTCTTTAAGTCGCAAATAAATTAACGCAGAAAATTTCAAGGCGTTTTGACTCTATCCCTCACGCTCGTAACAATATTAATAGCACATTGTAAGTATGTTCTTACAGAATTCTAGCTATCTTTTATTAAGTAGTAGACGGAGAAACACGTGGCATATGTTTCCAAAAGCCGATCCAATCCCCAGCCGTACATACTGCTTTGTCTGTACATTTCCCACATTATGACATGTCAACTTTAGCCCGCAACTCCGTCAGCGTAGAATTAAAAATAAAATCCATCTAAACTTGCGCATTTATAATATTAACAACATTTACTAAATATTTCCACCATTCTCTAACGTAAGGATGGGAAGAGAAAGTGGATTTGATGGTGGTTAAGACACATAGGAAGGGGAAATTTCCTCTTTAAGTTCGTCTCTTCCTCCGTCAATTAAGGATAGCAACGCATTTGCAATCGCGGATGTCTATGAGCAGCAGTTGCTTAGCGATATACAGGTACCCGCTAGCTCGTTGGCTACCTTATAATATAAAGAAAACTAACTTAATCCACTTGGAAAACGAATTATTATATTTCTTATGAAGACAGCTTGTGTAACACATACTAACGTAGTTGTTGTTGGCGCGGAAGGAAGCGATCTCAAAGGCTCTTAGTTATATGAAATAGCGAAACGTAATACGACCTATCAGATTTTACCAGAAAACATTTTGTATAACAGTATGATAAGATTTTTTTCTAATGCTCCTATTTATTTTCGGTCCTTTCCGTTTGTTTTACTTTATCGAGTTTTCCTTTTACTCGTAAAAGCTCCTTGAAATGTTTGCCCGTCGTACAAATATTAAATTTGTCAACATCTGCTATTAAGAAGACGGAAATGTAACATATCCTGATTTCATATACAATTATATATTTAGTTTGTTAAACAACATATTTCTTTAGTAAATAACACCAGAGTTTGCTGATTGCATCATCCCCCAATTCATACAACGCAGTAGCAAGTATAGTGTACCAGATAGATTAAGTGTGATCTTTTGCCAATAAACTGTTATGGCAGTTTGGCGAAATTCTTACATGTATTTAATTTTTATGTAATGATGATAATTATTATTGCGTTTTTTTAAATTAATAACAGCTTTATACAAGTAGGGTTGGCGAAAGGCAGGTGGCCGGCCGCAAAATAAGTAAGCCAAAACAACAAGGTACGGGTTTTCGATACACGAAATAAAAAATGAGGATTGTGTAAACAGCTTTGAGTAATTTTTCTTCAGAATTCCTTTCACGTCGTTGTACAATTTACTTAAAAAATTTACAAATATTTGCTTCATGTGTTAACATCATGATAAGTGAGAGACGCACTCCGATAACTCTGCTATCGTAGTTTTCTTCTACTTTCATACCAAAAGTTTTTTTTTCTTTTGACACTATACAAGATAGTATAGCAAAGTAGATAACCTAAATCCTAGGTATCAGTCACAATCCAAACTTCTCACCAAGTATGTTTGTAGATTTATATGATAAGATGGGAAAAGAGCTAGAGGCCACCTGAATTAGAAGAAGCTCAGCTACCGCCCATATACATCCGCAATTACTGATGCGTTGCCAACCTTTAATCGACTCCTACAAACATAAATAGGACATCTCCCCTTCCTATGCGTTTGATTTCAAAATTGTTTCGTTTTCTTGTCAGTTTCATTTGGGACCTGTATTTGTAGTTCGTCTACAAAGCGACTGTAAACTGAAGCACAAAGGGATTTTAAAATCTGTGACATGTGTTTGTTTGCATCGCCCACACACCGCAGAACCTTGTGCGTCCTTACTAGAATTGAACTAAACGGCTCTTGAAATTCATAAGCCGCATGTATTTGTCCTTTTTCAACAATATTCAGGTATATCTTTAATATCCGATGAAAATATCATCAGTAGTAATAACTACATCAGTTACCGATACGCGATAATGAACAAATCCGTTAACCACATACCCTTTTTTTTGTTACCCGAGGGGAATGCAATTTACGCATACTCCGCGCCCAGGGGGACGCGGTAGTTACGTGGGACTCTTCCCCCATAAAGGGGGGCATACCCACTAAACCCCTCGGTGCCTCCAACGCCTTAAGCCGGGGTTACGGGCACGCTAACGCTTACGTTTGCGACCCCGGCAACCTCGAAGATAGATCCCCGATGGGTTCGAAGCTGGTCTGTGCCTACACCGAAAGTTGTCACATGAGTCGCTTTTGTCTATCTTTTTCTATGTATGTTTACATCTTTAAATCTACGCAACAGGTTCGATAAATTTTATCTTTTTTTTATTTTCTGACATGAATCAAAATATTTTAGCCTAAATTTTAGTTTCAATCTAAATGAAAAATACTACGTTTCTTTACAGTATAAGTATTTCGATTTACTTAAGGGATCAAAGGGCAATCTCATAACGCTTACCCTTTTGTGAATTTCTTATGTAAATTTGATTACTGCCAAGAAATTGAATAGCGTTACCAGCTATCAAATTATCCTTTCTTGAGAATCCACTTTTTAAAAAGTTCAAAGAGTTATTTTAATTTTTTTTTCAATTTTTACAGATCAGTGATTCAATTGTTTTTATGTATTCCATCGATGTGATGATTGCATCGTTAGTTTTCTAATTTTTAAAATTACACGAATTATAAAAGCATTGTGTTTTTGAGTTATGTAAGTATTATATCGGTTTGTGTGAACCTCCTGTAACCTAGACGGTTGAACCGATATTGACGAATGAATTATTTGAAGTCTCTATACTCAGATTAGGAAATAATCACATAACATTCGGGTTTGTTTACTTTGAAATCTACAATTACATAATTATAAATCAATACTTTTACAAAGACGACTTCGAATAATTTGGGTTTCTTCCAATAAGCTAACAATAAGAAAATGTAACGAGTTTGAATCGAAAAGCTTAAACATTGCTTTTCATTTACAAAGTTAATGAAAGTTAGAGTCCCTGAAGGATTATTGACTATTTCCATGAACCAAATTATGCGGTAATCCCTGCACGTAAATTCAACATGTGTTTTAACTTGACTCCATTGGCACGGACCTAAAAAAAAATCAGTAGCCTACTTGTTCTTCTAGACTATGTTCTACATAATTATGCCAAATTTCAGCAAGAGCTATTGATCCGTTCTACAGATATGTAATAACAAACATCCATCTATTTAAATACTAACTTTCGTCAGTATTCCGTCCATATGAATTTAAAAAAATTAAAGCCTGTGTTTATTTCATCGAAATCCGTTCAAACTAACAAACGTCCATCCATCTAAACTTTCACATTTATAATACTAGTATGAAAGTATGATTTGTTCTGTTGTATTTTCAGTGCTTTCTTTATCTTGATCTGTTGTTTTCCGTCAATGTGTTTCCGTCAAGAAGTTGAAAGCTTCTCTTATCTGAAAACTAGCGTCCGACAAAGTCGAAGAAACATTTGACGTAATTTATCAATGACACAAGTTGTTTTCTTCACGTCTTTGGACGACAGACATAAGTCGAAGGAGACATTAATAGCAGGAAAAACAACTTTAATAGAAAATAGACATAGTCTTTAACAATAGGATAGTATTGATAATTAAAGTAGTTTTAAAAGAAAATCATTAATAATTTCGAAATCTTGAATTAATGTGTTGAAACGCCATCTTTCAATTATTATTTTACTTTACAGTTGATACAAGTATTAAGGAAATTTTTCATTTTTCTTCTCTGCTCCGTTGAATAATATATTCTGACAGGAAAAGTATGTTACGTGATTTATGATGGGTGTAACACAAAGTAGAATGTTTGCTCCGTTTCTTAGAAATTACTTAACTTTGTAAACAGTTTGCTAAGCTGAAGGGGGCCACAAGCCCCAAGCTCCCTCCCAGCAAATTCAAATTCTTATACGTACTACAATTTTAGTGAACTATAAATTGTTATCTAACCGTTAAATTCTATCGCCATAACCCTTGTTATCTGTACTAATTTATAAAGTGGAAAGATTTGTATTTATATATGTTTTGACATAACTAAACAACTTCTGGGTAGATTTCAATCACCATTAGAAAGCTACGTCATCACTGAGTAACATAGGTTGTTTTTAAATTTCACGTGAACGAAGTCACGAGCAACATCTAATATGTGATGTATTTCTATCGTGAGGTGGCAAACGTGAATACGGCCATGTAAGATCGCCAAAATAGCGACAAAACCACCTTTGTTAAATGGACGTAGTTAGGGACATACAGAAATCATCATCCACTTGCCCTTATCCCTTACGGAGGGTCGGCACAGCATGTGCTGCTCTTCCATACATCTCTATCAGCCGTCATATCTGAATCCACTCCTTTCTTAAGCATATCCTCATTCACAAAATCCATCCATACTTTCTTTGGTCTTCCTCTTTCTTTGTAGGGACATACAGAAATAACATTTTTTTATAAGGATGTTGATATGTAGGCCTAAATTAGGCCTGCAGCAAATATTAGAGGGATGGTATTATTAGAACATTTCGACACCCAATTAACATTATAATTGCATTTATTTTGTTGTCTATTACGTGAATATAATTTCTATTCAGAATGATTAAGTGGGTCGTATTTAGCATTCAGTTGCGTCGCAAGCCTGAAACAAACAAAACGTCAGGCAAACGTGACTGTACAAATGTTTGACAACAAATAGACAGTGCACAAAGCGATGACGTCAACAGACAGCCAATCGTAGCGAGCTTACAAATTAAGCTCTTAAGTTTTATCGACAGGAAATATTGAGTACAATAAATGAAATGGAATCTTTTTTTGTAAAAGAGCTTACAAAAGTTACATTTAGTAAATCACCAACTGTTATGTAATTTTTTCTAATTATTATTTTTCGAACGACACATTTGGCCAGAATTGTTTGCTATTACATTACATAAAGAAATATGAAATAAAACCCGTCAGGTAGATTTTAAAAAAATTAAAAAGAAAATGAACCTTAGAATTGAGCCACCGCAGCCTGTGTAATTAGTCGCAGTAACGTACTGTACACAAAAATAACAAGAGTTTTATTTGAATAGACAGACGACATAACCATCGTTGCAAAGAGCCACCGTACCGTAACAAGCTTACGTTTACAAACCCCTTGTCTGCAAGCATTAAAAGCAAAATTTAACAAGCATAAAATACAATGTGCAGTCTACATAAAACTTAAAAAATTTTAAAATTAGAATGAAACTTAATTACGTAAAAGTTTCTTATATGTTTAGTACTCACCTTGTTTATATCGATAAAGATGTGTTATAGGCTAAGATACAAAGCGTTTTTCCTTCCCTCATTTGCTTTTCTGATGAAACCTACACTACGTGAAAGAGCACATTTTTTTAAACATGTTGTAACCGGGTTGCCTAATCCTAGCCTGGCAAGGCTATGTTTAATTGATCTCTGAAGTGGGCAATTTGTGGAGCAAAAACCCCTCAGCGAGTTTCTTGAAAATTTTGTCACCAATCGATACGTACGTAACGTAAATATTACTCTAAGGTGGGGTTGTATCTTTTTCCTGGCAAGAGTGGGGGTTGCCAGCAATTAAATGGCGACAAAATAGAGGCTTTATCGAATTTCCTCATGAAATTATACTCAAAATGAAGATATTAGCGAAACATTAATAAAAAAAAGGATTAAAAGTAATTTCCTATAAATTGATTGCATTCCCCATAAAAAATCACACTAAGGGGCTGTCCCAGCACTGGCTGATAAATGCCCAGACAGCTTACAAATGACGTCACTGTCAGATAAGGGTACAAAATCCGATATTTCCATCACATATTTCTCACGTTGGATTGTTATCAGACTATTTACAATTTGGTGGGACAGGCTTTTAGTCGCTGATAATTAATTTTATAAACATTTTAAAAGCTTTATTAAAGTCAAAAGATTAATACAATTTAAATGTGATTGATAAAATTAATCTAACGCAATGTCCTTAGCTGTCATTTTCAAAAAAAAAAGTACCACATAAGTAGCAACGAAAAGTTCAATTTGTGTAAACAACAAAAGAAATAAACCAAGCTTAAGAGCGTTATCTTTGTATGCCTTGTGTTTACGCAGTTTAATCCAAACCCGTTTCTCGTGTGTTCCAGACGTCCCTTTCTCGGGGGAAAAGTGACTAAATAAATATTTATTAAAAAAAAATATTCATAATACAATTTGATTTACAATCTTTCAGCTTTTTTATTAAATTGCTTTCGTCCGCCTCTCCGGATGAGTAAAAATAAAAATAAAACACAAAAGTAGCCTTTGTTTTTTTCGTCTTTCATCTAGATTCGTTCAGCCAGCAATTTAGGCTAAAATCTCTAATAAACATCCATCCATTCTTCAAACTATCGCAATTATAATATTAATAGTAAGATTAGTAACATACTTTTGAAGTAAAAAGTAGTAGCTATTTTCTCAAATAATATCAGAATAATGTCATAGCCAATTTCTAAAAAAAATACAAAAATGTGTAGAAAAATCACTAATAGATTAGTTTTCGTTAAAAAAATGTTAAAAAGGAAAATCAGGTAAAATAAATCCTATTATAAAAACATAACTTTATACTCAGTTGACAAAATAGCTCCGACGCGACGGCTCTTTGATGAAGTAGAGGTATCTCAATCGCTTGCTCTGTACCGATGGAAATAATTATATCAGTACGAACATTTGAAATACTCAATACAAACGAAACTTAATTTTAATTAAAACTGTGTAAAGCATTTCCATTTCACTTACTGAGTACTTAAAAGCTTGTTTTATTAATACCTAGCACTTAACGATTACTACTATGAACGTTTTATCTAAAAATATATCCATTACTCTTGCTCGCAACTTCGTAAATATCAAGCCAATAAATTACCTTTCTAACGATGTAAGAATTTTTAAAATCGACCCAGTAGTTTTTGAGTTATATCAATACATACAAAAATACAAATCTTTCCTCTTTATAATGTTAGTATAAATTAAATGTTGCTCGCGTCATCGTCCGCGCGGAAATATATTTTTTTCAAATATATATAGCCTTTTAAAGCCCTTATAGCGTTTTAAAGTGTCCAATAGATTGTAGCTTTTAAGGTTTCACCGCCAGTTACCCCCACAGTACACATTTTTGGAGTTATGTATCGTAGTTTGTGGTCACGCATTGTCTTCAAATAAATCTTCCTTCAATTTGTCCCAAAAATCAATTCTTTTCTGTTCAGGCAAGTTTACCATTTTGAAAGTTTTTCCAATACTCAGAACCTTTATGGTTTGGTTAACACGTATTGATTCCCAAAGCAGATTTCCAAGTGTACTATCTTTAATTTTTGGCGTAGGTTTCCTGAAACATGAAAAAAGAGATTCGCATAACACAACGCCTTTTAAATAAAAATAGTTACAGGAAATGAAATTAAAAAATCTTACCCAGATTTAATAAAATTAGCTAAGAGTCTTGTTATTTTCTTTATAAATCGTTTTTCAACAACATTTTCCGTACTATTATAATCATCGGCGAACGATTTGCATTTGAATTGATAACAAATTTCGTCACCGGCTGTAGCCCCTGACCAGTTCAATTTAGGAAGAGACGTCCATTTAATATTAAAGCAGCTATTATAAGAAAATCTGTATAAATATACATCTCTAGAGTGTACACTCTGTAGCCTAGCTTGTCGAATTAGAGGATAAATAACTTGGTCAGTATGATACTTGACGTAACGTCTAAAACTGCGTTCTGTTATTGTACCATTAATGAAATAAAAATCCTTTATTCTTCGTTTTACATTTCTGTATCTCTTTGAATCATATTCATCAGCGTCTCCAAAGAATGGTAGGAGATATTGAAAATTATAATTCAAATATTTTAAAAGTTTTCTTCTGTTAACAAAATGTTTTAATTTAATTATTGCATCATAATTGCAATACCCAAACATAACTTCAACGTCATTGTTTGCTAATTTTCTTTTATATACCTCCAAGGGATGTTTGTTCATAAATGCGCCTTTTTTGTCTTTTTCAATAGTACATCCAAATGCTTTTATTAGTCGTTGCCTGTCTCTTATTTCCGTGCTATCGAAAAGGTCGTGACTTATTGCCATTAAGATTTCTACAGGCGCTTTGCTAAGGTATTGATAAAGTTTTTCTCTATTTACTTTGTCTGAATTCACGTATAACCGTTGGTATAATTTATTAACAACTTTGTTGTTATAACTCCCATAATCTACAGGTGATAGAGCACTACCACCTTGAATTATTACTCTATTAAATAGATCTTCAGCAGCGCTGGATACTAGAAGAGACGCGACAACATTAGCCGCGTCTCCTGATCCTATTACTGTCACTTTGTTTAAATCGCCATTAAATAAATAAATATTTGACCTTAACCATTTTAAAGACATTAATACGTCTTTAGCTCCCATGTTTCCTTTAGAAAATTTATCACCTGTATTCAAAAAACCCAATATTGATGTGCGGAAGTTGACTATTACAACTAAAATACCTTCTTCAATTAAAAAATCAGGTCCATATTCATAGAAGCCTTCAAACAACCACACGGCAACTGGAAAACTTGTCATCTTTGTAGAAATTGGCATGTAAACGGATAATGTTAGATCTTCAGTTAATGCAGTGCTTGAAGAGTTAAATTCTTTACTGAAATTGTAAATCCCTTTATGTATTATCTGTGGTCCTTTTGGTGGCTAAAAAAAAAACGACAATCGTATTATTCTTATCTCACTAATATTGTAAATACAATAGTGGCTTAGAATGACTGGATTTATAAACAAGATGCCATACTTTAAAAAAATCTAGCGCAGTAAAAACACTTTTTTGTTATTATTCTTTCTTCCAGAGCTCTAGAATGTTCGTTTTGAATTTAATAGCGCACGAACAAACTAACCCTGATCCCTAGAGCGGACAATAATTAAATTGTTAATTAAAATCGTACGAACAACCTCATTTAAAATTCCTGATTTTCTAAGCTTTGTTATATCTGAACTACTATTCTACTAATACTGTTGTATTAGGTATTGAAGTACTTGAGTAGTCAAACATTACTAATTTTAGTAGTCGGAATACGTATTTTGGAGTAATAGTTTCTTCATTCTGGGTTATTGCATGTTCTTTCTAAAGTTACTTTATAATTTACAAATAGTTAGTAATTAATTATAAAGATTTACTTGAAAAAAATATGAAATAAGGTGTACATCACTAAATTTATTAAGCTAGACTACATTTTATTTTATAATATAAGGTCAAGCGGTTACCTGAATCCACAGAAATGAAAAGCGACCGCTGCCCATAAATATCCGCAATTGCAGATGCGTTGCCTACCCTTCATTGACGGAGGAGGAGACGCACATAAAAAGGACATTACCCCTTCCTATGCCTCTCCTCCATCGTCAAATCCACTTTTCCATCCCATGCTTTCCTCTTAAGAAAAGGGTGTAAAGGGAAAGGGACCAAAATTAGGCCTCCGGACATAGGAGCCATCTAAATAAAAGATACTAAAGAAGCCATAAAATTACCTTGAATCTATCAGCTAACGAGGGTAGTGCATAAGGAATGTTGATAAATGTCGCGTATGGAAGATTTTCGTACACTGTAAAGAATTTTCTTCCAACAATTGTAGTTTGATTCGTTAATAATTCATATAATTCTCCTTTGACACTATTAGAAAATATCATAAAAACTAACACGTAATTAAAAATGACATAACACATTGTGGTAACTATTTTCTATTACAAATGGAAAAATTATATGACTTTTGCTACTTTTGTTACCCGTTGTTTAAAGTCATTGAACGAGATATAAAAACTACTGAAACCCGTAACATATTTTGAAAATACACTTCTCTATAACGAATTGAAACGATAAAGTTATTGTACAAGTACAATTTACTAATCCCAATATCAATCATTAAAATAAAGTAAACATTGCAATGGAAAATGTTACTTTTACATAAAATTAAAAAGTAAACGAATATAATGTTCCAAAAAATTACTTGAACACACTGTTTACTGTTAATTTTCATTCCAAAATTACTAAATAACGTATAGACATTCAACATATCAGTCCATAAAGATTAAACAGAATTTGTTTATCATTTATTATCGTAAATGTAGTCCACAATTACACCTCATTTAATAAAAACGTGTGATGGTATAAAATGGAGTTTAAACTACTATTCTATACATTTCTATATTTAATATCAATTATATTTGTAAGTGCAGATGGAGAGACTGTCCTGACCACCCATGGTTTAGTATCGGGAAAAATATTAAAAACGTTATTTAAAGAAACCCAGTACCATGGATTTATGGGTATACCATACGCTGCACCACCTGTTAAAGACCTAAGATTTATGGTAAATATAGATTTATACTTTTAAATCCATATTAGTTCATAATTTCGGACGAGTTACGAGTATGAATACCTAATTCATTTTATTATCACATTATTTTGCCTTTTTTAATTTATCAGATCTTAAACAAGCCATTGTTATTTATAAAATTTTAAATGTAATCCTGTATTTTAATTTCTTTTTAGCCACCAAAAGACATTGAGCCTTGGACGGGTGTTTTAAAAGCGACAAAAGAAAAACCTCCATGTCTGCAATATAATTACAACGTGAAGAAAAGTGATTCGATTGGGCAATGTGGTGTAGAAGATTGTCTTTACCTTGATATATTTACACCAGCAGTAGATGAGAATAAACGTGGCGTTGTTGTATTTCTGTATAATGAATATTTCCGATACTCATATAATAAAACAAAAGACTACGCACCAGATTTCTTCATCGAAGAAGACGTGATTGTAGTTGAAATAAGTCATCGACTATCAGTTTTGGGATTCTTATCATTAGAAGATGATATATTGCCTGGTAATTCTGGACTGAAAGATGTAGTAAAGGCTTTAGAATGGATAAACAGTAATATAGAACGATTTGGAGGAGATGCAAATAAAATTACATTGATGGGTTTCAAAGGAGGTGCTGCTGCGATAGACTTACTTCTTCATACGAAAGCAAAAAGCCTCATAAACGGAGCTATTTTACACAGTGGAACCTCGTTGTCTCCAGATATTTTGCAAGATGATGTTCGGGAAAGAGCATTCAAACTAGGTGAATTATTGGAAATCGGCACGACAAGCAGTAGTAAACTTTTAAAATATTTCAACGATGTTACACCAGAGAAATTACTTTCGAAGGACTTTAGATCTCTACCTGATGACTACTATAAAGAGAATCAAAAACCTCTCTTAGCTTTCGGACCTGTAATCGAAGTCAATTCAGACGGTCTTGTTCTTCAGTATCCAGAACGTATGCATGATCCTATCAATATTCCCATAATGATTGGATCAAATTCCCGTGAAGGTTTAGATTCGGCAATAGATTACCTTGCTGATCCAAAACGAATGGTATACATCGAAAAAGATTTCCATTTCTTATTACCCATACGGACAGAAACTAAGTTTGACCCTCTTAAAGATGATTACTACAAAGCTATAGAAGAAATTAAAAATTTCTATTTCAAAAAGGGTAAAGTGACACTAAAAAGTGTTAGTGATTATGTCACTTACATAGGAGATGTACTTACGTCTTATCCCGTAGACGTTATGACGAGGATGTACGCAAGTAAAGTAGCAAAACCCTTGTACTATTACCATTTCGATTATTATAGCGAATTGAATGCCAACAAAAACAGAATTTTGGCATTGTCTAAAGTAAGCGATGGTACCTGGGGAGCCACATCCGGTGACGAATTGTGTTATCTTTTTAAATGTCCTAGCCTAAAGAAAAACTATCTTAAACTAAAGAAATCGATGTCTGAAGAAATAATATTACAAAGGAAATTAGTCAAACTGTGGTCTAATTTTATTAAATACGGGTAAGTTATGGAAAAAACATTTTGTGGTCGAAAAGATTATTTATATTGTTTCTAATCTTACTAATATTATAAATGCGAAAGATGACATGGATGGATGGATGTTTGTTAGAATCTGTAGCCTAAACGGCTGAACGGATTTTGATGAAATTTGGTATGGATGCAGAGGATATTCTGGATGAACACATAGGCTACTCACTTTTGTTTTTTTTTTATTCCACGCGAACGGAGTCGCGAGCGAAGGCTAGTAATTAATATTTCTAAGATTATGATGACCTTAGGATGTAAATATATTCTAACTTCAAATAGCCGTTACCGAGTAAATACACATACGAGTCAGCAAATTACGAATGCAGGGTTAGCGTGGAACCGGTCTTAACATAAAATTCTAAAATCTCTGATATAAAGAAACAAAACATTTTAGAGGATATATCAATCACAGGCGAGTTTTTAGTTACAGAACATTTAATACTGTAAGACACAATTTCCCTCAAAAAGACCAGTAATTTTATTAATAACAAAGTTTCCAATAGCCCAATCGTTTAAAGTAATCATTTCTATGTTTTAGATCTCCTACACCAGGACATAATAATCCATTGGAGAACTTCGAATGGCCGGAGTATAATTTGGAAACGAAAGAATATCTTCACATTGGAAAAAATATAGAAATACGGCGTAATCTCTTCGGAGATAGATTCGAATTCTGGGACAAATTCCTAACTAGATGGCCTAAAATATTGAAGAACTTAAGGGAAAAGGATGAATTATAATAATAGTAAATAATTCATAAAAAATAGAGTAGTCTTTTTTCTTCCTTAAATATTCCTTTAAGCATGCTTTAATCATAGTTATATCTAAGTGTGCGGTAGTGCACCTGCCGAGACTAGCACAGCCAAATACTCTTTTCTATAATAATTTTTTCTCGGAAAGACATTTCAGAAAGTGTGCAAAATAAAGTTACTACAAACACGACAGAATTTAAACCTCTTTTACGAGGTAACAAAGCATTAAAGAACAAAACTATGAAAAAATACGATGAAAACTATAGTTTCTTAAATTTTACGTTTAATTTTCTCTTTTGTGTCAATTCAATCAAGTAACGTGTCCTTAACCCTTTGATTTCGGATTCTTTTGACTCTTTCCTATGAATTTACCAAGTTTTTTATTCTGTAATAACAAATATAAAAGCAGTAGCCACTAATAACATTAGATTAATAAAATACCACTTCCTTAGAAATAGTTATCGCGATTACGATTCTAGTAAGAGTTATAAATTATCACAACGTTAAAGATAAAAGCGTAAATGAAGCCAGTAACGATTATACAGTTTATCTATAGGACACGTCAGTAGTAAGGATTACAAGAATGTATTAAATAAACAACTAAATTATATTATATCTAAATAACCAGCTTGTAGACATTATAATGAATTTAATAATTTTAGTGATTCTTTTTTGTATTACAATAACATATGCTAATGTAATAGTGGAAACTAAGTTAGGTAAAGTGGCCGGTAAGAGAGTGGATTCAATTATTCCAAATGAGAAATATTATTCTTTCTTAGGCATACCGTATGCTGAACCACCAGTTGGTGAACTAAGATTCAAGGTAAGAAGTTTTTTATTGTAATTAATTTTATATTCAATGCGAATTACATAGAAAAGAATAATTAGAGGCAAGCTATTTTTAAGTGCTCTCATGAATTTTTTGAATTACTTAATGTATTGCTTATTTTTTTAAACTTTATTCCTTAACGTTATTACAGAGCGCATAGAAATTTCAATGTTGATAATTTAAATTTATATTTGGCTATTATATTATGCAATTATTTTTTTATTTTAATAATGCTTTTGAGGTACCACTAACGTTAGACCTTTAATTGAAATCAAGAAGACCATTCTTGGCCAAGGCCAAAATTTTGCAAATTTCAGTTATACTAATTCATTAATTTTAATTTAACTAACTTCTTATTTTCAGTCTCCAAAACCTCATCAAGGATGGACTGGTGTTCTAGAAGCAAAAAAGGAACGAAAAGCATGTCCACAATTCTATTTACCAGTCAGATCAACAAAAAAAATTGGTTTCTTCGGTAACGAAGATTGTTTACATCTGAGTATTCACACGCCCAACGTCCCTGAACAAAGTCAAAATCTTCCCACAATTGTGTTTTTATACAATGAACAGTTTCGTATATCCTTCAATGGTACAAAGGATTATAACCCAGACTTTTTTATGAAAGAAAATGTCATTCTTGTAACGCTTCACCACAGAATAGGAGCACTCGGTTTCCTTGCATTTGGAGACGATGTACTTCCTGGGAATTACGGTCTTCGGGATGTTTTATTAGCTCTAAAATGGATTCAAGAAAATATAAAAAGTTTCGGCGGAGATCCATCGAAAGTAACATTAATGGGCAGTCAAGGTGGTGGAGCTATCGCCGATATACTTCTGCAATCTCCTAAAGCTGAAGGCTTATTCAGTGGTGTTATTTTACAAAGTGGATCTTCATGGGACCCGATTTACTTAGATACGAATCCCAGTAAAAAAGCAAAAGGTCTCGGTGAAGAGTTAAAAGAAACCGTAACCACAAGTTCTTATTTCTTAAAACGTTTGGCGGATTTCTCAGCACAAATTTTAGCGGAATCTGAACATTTATCTGTACATGCAGATGATGCACGAGCTGTACAAAGAGGATTGGTTGCTTTTGGGCCGAGTGTTGAACCTAATCATCCGGACGCGTTGATCACAGCTCTACCCGAGGATACGAATTTTAAAATAAATGTACCTGTCATGATAGGTTATAATTCACGAGAAGGCATAGAAATGGGGGAGAGAATCTTGCACAAGCCGCAGTATCTGACATTTGCTGATAGAGATTTCCTCTTCATGTTACCTATAAGGGTTAAATTCCATTTTCAAATCAATGACCATGTTTATTACGATGCTATCGAAAAAATTAAAGATTTTTACTTTGACGAAGGATATATAAAAGTTAGTAAGCCTGGAGAGTTTTTGTCTTATTTGAATGATATAAGTATTTTTTATAATACTGATTATGCTGTTAGGAAGTATACGAATATTTCGAGTTTCCCAGTATATTATTATGTTTTTGACTACAGTGGAGAATTGAATATGAGAAAGAAGGCATCACTTCAAAATGCTGTCAATCTAGACGAAACCTGGGGAGCTTCGACAGCGGATGAATTATGTTATCTATTTATATGCAATCCTAGAAATGTTTACAAAAAATTACTCGAAGACGAAGACTCAGAAGAAATTAAAGTTTTAACTAACATGGTTAAGATGTGGACGAACTTTGCTAAAACTGGGTAAGAGGAATAAAATGCTTAGAGTTAATACTTAGATACTAACATAACATTAGCAAGACAAAAAGTGTAATTCGATAAAATTACAGTTGTCGTATAACAATGAAATTACAACATTCTGATATTATTTAAGCACCATAAAAATTAAAATTGACTTATGTTCTAACACTTCTAGATTTTTGTAAACATTTTGATGTGGTTTTTTTTTCAGGAATCCTACACCACCAGGAGAAAACTTTACGTGGAAACCGGCGACAAAAGAAAGTAAAGAATGTCTTGTTATTAGTGATGAGCTTGAAATGAAGACTAACATAAACGAAGATATCGTGAATTTCTGGGATGAATTCATATCAACATACAGCGAACGAGCAATCGATAATGTTATAAAAGACGAATTAAAAGATGAATTGTAACAATACACAATATGTTTTGTACATAGTTGTTTCTTTATTCAACATTAAGATCCTGCGTATACCTGGGAACAAATTATCAAACGATAGTCGCGCTTTATTCCTATGAACTTTTATGAAAGTACGCATACCACAGCCGATATAATCAAACTTTTGTGCGATAATTTAGTCTTAGATGCGCGGGCTGTTAAGAGAACATTGTTTGAACGATAAGAGCTTGGTAGATCGATGATATCCTGACTGAGGAACATTCTAAATGTATTCCTTGAATCCGACTTTACCCATGACCGCCCACACATGGTCTCGAGTAGTAGTCATTCTGATATCGTGCTAGCTCAAGCCGACATATATTAAATATAATTTGACAGCTCAAATACAGAGACTTTTAAACAACGATAAATAAGTAATAATAAATAAAATCAATATAAAAATAGCATAGTTAATAGTTAACATGAAGTTTATTTATGTTATTTTAAATAATTGCCAGTGCAAAATATTCCATAGTTAAACAAATCAAGTACAAAAAATAATTGAATATTCAATAATATTAAACTCAAAAAATAGTTAAATCCGTATAATTGTTAAATGCTAAATTCATTTTTTTATTCTCATTAATTACTATTAATATTTCTCATTAATTCATTAACAAATAAAAGTCAACAACGTGTTCAAATAGCATTTAAAATCTTATCACTGCAATTGATAAGGACAATAAATATTCTGTCTATCGATATCCATCACAAGTAAGCACGTGAAATATGAAATCTACACAATATTGTTAAAAATTTGTGAGTAGAAATTACAGAAGGTTAAAATTATTTAAATATAAAATGAGATTCTTTTTATTGCTGTGTTTAATCACTTATATTCAAAAATCAAACACAAATGAGAATAATGTAAACATTAAAATTCAACAAGGGGAACTGGCCGGAAAAATAGAGAGAACACTATTTAAAAATGTGGAGTACTATTCATTTAGAGGTATACCTTACGCGTTACCACCAACAGAAGAATTAAGATTTAAGGTAGGTTTAAAATATTTTATTAAATTATTGAGTTTAAATTTGCAATAACCTATACACTATCACTTTGACAGGCACCGGTTAAACATAACAAATGGGACGGAATCTATGAAGCTTTTATTGAGAAGCCAACTTGCTTGCAATTCAGTTCTCGCCAAAGAAATGGAGAATCTTTTGGCATATCAGGATCGGAAGATTGTCTTTACCTTAACGTGTTTACACCTAACCTCAAAGGATCTCCTGCTCCTGTAGTGGTATTCGATTACAATGACAATTTCAAAACTGGATTTAATGGATCACAAACATACGCTCCAGACTTTTTTATTGAAGAAGATGTAATAGTTGTAACAATTAATCATCGTCTTGGATTATTTGGATATTTAACAACAGATGACGACATTATTCCCGGTAACAATGGATTACGCGATTTTATTTTAGGACTAAATTGGATTAAAGAAAATATCAAACAATTCGGAGGAGATCCGGATAGGGTAACACTAATGGGCAACAGAGGCGGAGCTGTACTAATTGATACGCTTTTGTATTCTGCCAAAGCAAAAAATCTATTCAGCGCCGCAATCTTACAAAGCGGGACTTCTGTTGAGCCGTTTTTGTTTTATGACAAACCAAGAGAAGCGGCTTTTGAGTTAGGTGAATTATGCGATATTAATGCAACAGACAGTGCTACTTTATTGGAGGGATTGCAGAAAATTGATGCAGAAATTTTAATTACAAAGGATGTCAGCGTCTCAGATACAACCTTCGACTTAGCTCAACTGGTTATTCAACCTTTCAGTCCGATTGTGGAGAAGAATCCAGATGCTGTGTTAACATTTTTACCTGAGAGTGGATTAGTCGTCAACGACGTCCCGATTATAATCGGAATGAACTCTAGGGAAGGTCTAGATTTGGCATCACCCTATATATTTGAACCGCGACTACTTACAGACTACAGTCAAGATTTCTTCGTACATCTACCAAAGAGAACCGGATTTCAATTCGATCGAAACAGTACAGTTTTTCAAGAAGCGGTAAAAGAAATTCAAAACTTTTACTTCGAAGAAGGTTACTTATATTATAACAATATCCTCGAGTACGCAGTTTACGTTGGGGATGTTCTTCAAAACTACGCTTTGAATCTTGCAGCAGAAAAGTTAAGTACAGACCTCAAATCTTCGGTCTATTACTATGTTTTCGATTTCAGAGGATCTTTAAATGAAAACATTGAATACATGTACCGACGAGTTAGATTTCCTATAGAAAATTGGGGAGCCACAATAACTGACGAGTTGTGCTATCTACATCTTTGTACGAGAATTAAAAAAAATTACATCAAACTTCGTAAATTGCTAAGCGAACAGCCTGATATGAAAGTGTTAAAAAATATGGTGCGCTTGTGGACAAATTTTGCAAAACATCGGTAAGTATTTGTTTTCATGGAAACGAGAATGATTAAGTAGTTAAAATATTGTTTTTTATTCTTTTGATTTCAAAAACAAAAGTGAACTATCCTAATTGTCTTGCTTAATTAGTAGTCAAAGCATGAAAACATGCAAAACGAAATGCTTCTCTTTAAGTGAACTTTGAGTTTCTCTTTACTCGTATACTATTTCAGGAACCCAACACCCGATCTGAGTGATGATTTACTCAAGGATTTCACATGGCAGCCACATAATAAAGAGAAAAACAACTATCTTCATATCAACAAAAAACTTCGCATGAAACAAAATCCTATGGGTGAACGCGTTAAGTTTTGGGACGACTTTATTGCCAAGTATTCCGCATTAGCTGAAGATGGTGTTGTAAAAGATAAAAACCACGATGAATTATAAATAAATCAGTTAAATCGATTTTATGTTTCAAATGCTTATATACTAAGATTTCTAACATAGACTACAAAAAGTAATCTTCATAAAGCTTAATCAATTTCATAAATAAATTGCGTTTTTGTTGCTATAGGCCATATATCCCTTTTTTTCATAAGAGTGGGCGCACACCCTTGACAAAACAATCGCATGACATAAACATAAATTGTACAAATATCGATTGTTTAGCAGCCAATTCAACTGTTTAGTTGCACAACTAAAAATTGAGTAGTACGCGCACCTCCATATAAGCTCTTAAAAATCAAAGCACGACTAATCAGTCGTGCGATAGTTTAGTCAGAGGTGTGCGCGCGCTTAAACAGACTACAATATGTAACTATAGTTATAAATACAGGTGCATTCGAAATTCATATAATTTTGATACCAAGACATTCATATGCATTGCAACGGTTTATTTCATATTTGGCGATATGCTCGTCTATCCCATTAGCCTATAAAAACAAGGCTCAGCAGTTAATGAATTGGACACGGTCAGTATTGACAAGGTCAAACTTGCAGCAGAACCTGTTTATGCAACAGCAGTTATGCAACATACATCTATATCCTTTCGACATTGACATCGATTACATAGTGCATATTATAATATCGCACACGACATTCACTGTTGTACTGTCAATCATACTAATATTATAAATGCGACAATTTAGACGGATAGATGTTTGTTAGAGTTTGTAGCCTAAACGACTGAACGAATTTCTATGAAATTTGGTATAGATGTGGAGGATTGTGTGAAAGAACACACAGGCTACTCACTTTTGTTTTTTTTTTATTCCACGCAGACGGAGTCGCGACCGAAAGCTAATAACTTATAAACAAAATATGAGTCGTTTACTACTTTACCTTCGATGCTCGTTTTTCTTACGTAGTTGAAGAAAATAGCCCGTGTGATCTTCCAGACCATGCTTTATATAAATATCAATACCAATTTTTTTTTAGATCCGTTCAGCAGTTTAGACGACAAACTAACAAACATCCATCGCATCAATCCATCTAAATTTTTGCATTTATAACATTAACTAGTTAGTTTATTCGTAGTCATAATGTGTTTTCAGAAATTTCGGTTTCGGTTTTGGGTGCAAAAACTGTTTTTGCACTATTAAATGTGCAATAATTACTCGTCCTATACGCCAATTTCCATGTTAATACAGATTTTACATATATTCTAATAGAACGAATCAACACCATTCTCCCTGCGCTGTTTATCTATGTGGTCCGACCCTATTACTTTCAATATAATATCCATTACGAATTCTTCCAATTCTATAACAATTTTATCATATTTTGAATCTTATCATTCTCAAGGGATTTGAATGGTTACCTTAATCTATTTTTAATAGCTAAAGGCCTTCACTTAGGGGACTCTTTATTTCATTAGTAAATGCTATCCATTGCAAAGGTAATCTATATACCTTATATAGTCTGTACATTTATCTAATGATTTAGATTAAAAAGGTTCAAAGTGATACCACAGAAAAAGCTATCTTTTTTTTATAATATAAGGTGGCAAACGAGCAAGCGACCACCTGAATCGACCGAAATGGAAAGCGACCGCTGCCCATAAACATCCAATCTGCTCCAAAATTAAACAATTAAGTTATTAAGAATGTAAGGAGACATTGAAAACTTTTTTAATAATTTTGGAATGAACACCAGTATTAAGTCGTAGGTAAAAATAAAGTTCTTTTTAACACGTTTACTGTGGCAGATAAAATTATAATTCTTCATCTGGTGCGGCGGCGGGCCAAAATGCGCCCCCAAAGATATTTCCGCCAGTGTGGCAGGTCTTTTTAGACCAGCATTAGGATAGATTAAATTGCTATAACGTTGTGAAAACGCAATGTATACATTTTACGTAATGTATAGATACACCTGAAATAATCGATCCGCATTAGCGAGAGGGACAGAATTTTCTTTCTTCGTTACGCACTGAGCGTGTTAACTCCACGTATATCCATTTATTTAATCTGTATCTACATAGTTTCGAATGCAATTAAAAAATAAACGTGACATAAAATTCAATGGTGCATGTTTTACAATGTAACAAATGTTATTATCTTTATTTTATGTAAAATACACACATACACAATACGTGTACAGTAGAACCTCGGTAACTTAAAAACCTCTATAACTTCAAAAAATAATATGTTCCCTTCCCATCAGAGCCCAAAATCTCTACAACATAGACGCTTGAAACCTAAAACCTCTAGCTTAAAATATTTTGTGTTTCCCTTGGACTTTAACTTATCGAAGTTCTACTGTATTAACATAGAAATACTAAGTAATTATACATGGCCGATTTAAAATACCTTTCGCCATTACAAAAATACGTTATCAATGAATAACATTTCAAAATTGCCAAAAAAATCCGGTTTTACGCAAAAAAAACGTTTTATCCGTTTAAACATCAAAGACGCGGAACAAAATAGTGTTTTTATAACGAGTGTAACCTTTAAAATGTTGGTTTTGAATATTATTAGGTATATACTTAGATCATTCAGTACATTATTATTTCAGACACAGGATAATACGTAAATAATATGACAACTGGTATCATCTCTACATTTATATGATTGAGTGTAGGGAAAAAGGCAAGTTGATGATTTTTTTTAATTTCAAAAGTTACATTTTTTTAATGTCGTCATATTTTAAGTTGAATTTAGAAAATAAACTGTCTTTTTCTGTATTCAAATGTAATGAGAAATATATGTAAGTGCAATTACAAAAACATTTTATTAATTCGAATAATAAAGAACTTACTTAAAGTTAAAAAACAATAGACAGAATTGTCTATTTTTCATTACTATTTTTACCTGTCGCAGATAATGGCATGCAATAGACGAGTTTTTTTAATGTGTTCAAAAATAAACATAATTACATAAGTGGCAATTGTTTACGCAGAACAAGTTATAGCTTAGATTTAAGGTAATCAAGTGAATCACTTAGTATTACGTGCACTACGACACAAACAGGCATTTAATGTGGACAGCGGCCATGTAATTGTATCAGGAAGTTGGACTACGTAATTATCTTACACGTGACTTACACTTGTGTACTTCGCCTCGTTAGAACGACGTAATACCGTGGGTTTTCACTGCCATAAAATTTGTATGACAACCGATTTTTATATGTATTTCTATTTGTTACTCAAAATTAAATAAACGACGTATAAACACGTATTGTTAAAGTCCAGTTGATTTGAACAAATTAAAAACCCATTCCTAAAATCTCTTCCATTAGCAAATAACCTATTAGTAAATTAAACTATATTTTTTATTATCTTTTTTGTTGAGTGTACTTAAACGAAGCCGGGAAGGTTGCTAGTAAAATATAAAACATTAAACTAATGAATATTCGTATTTCAACGCGTAATTTTTCAATTATTTTACTAACATGAAGTAAGTTAATATAAAAAAAAAAAACATTATAAGACTGTTTGATTAAATTGCGTATAGTGTCAGTTGAAATGCTACCGCCGCAGACTCAAGACGGCGTAGAGCAAGTTAGTGAAGTGCACGTTATAGACATAGAGGACCAGTTGGAGGGAACCGGTGTTGAAGATTCTCTACAGATACGAATAGAGAACGCTTTCGGTGAAAAAATGAACGGAAACGGTGAGCGCCTCGATTTAAAAATTTAATATAACTCAATAAAAAAAGGCATTTTTTATTCTTTTTAGGGATATCGCTGATAATTTTTTTAACATGTTTTAAGTTATCAATTAAGTTGCGTTTGATCAAATAAGATTTTTTTATATGATTTCGAACATGCACGTTTGCTTATTTCCTGTACAGAAAAAAAAAAGAATTTTGTAATTTACATAATGTATATTAACTAATTTGTTGTTGTTATTTTTTTTTTTGTTATTTGCTATTGTGCTGTAGTATTGTTGAGGATTAAATGTTATTTTATTTTGTTTATTCACTTTTTATACATTTATATTGATGTCAGACGATGGATGTTTGGACAGAAGGTACATCTAAACGAGTAAATGGTGAAAAAAGGTTTTATAAAGGACAATGTATGGAAGAACACATAGGCTACTTACTGAGTTTTTAAATAACTTCTATATGACCCCCGTCTCGTTGCGCATCCTATTATTCGTGCATCAGCCATCATGCAATCAATAAAACCCCCCTCGAATTCCCAGCAGTTCGGTTTCGGTCCGCAAAATGTGTTTTAAATTACATACAAACACTCCAATTACATTCATTGTATTCACACAGATATTTTATTACATTTCCGAAACCTAAGATAAGATACATTTGTAATAATACTCAAATGAAATTGGCGCCTAAAGAAATAACAACGTTGTTAATTAAACCTGTATAATCCGGAAAAGACAAGCATAAAGAAAAAAAATAGCAAATGCTAAAGTTTTTTTAGCTGTAGTTTATTTTTGTACCGGTTTTTTTGCTTTTAAGGCCGGGATGACATGACTGCGCCGCCTCTAACTAGATTTATACCCCATAAGTCTGGAACTGACAAAATCTGATGATATTCATGGAGACCTAGCTTTGATCCATCGGTGGGAGTCGTGCCTCATTTTTTTTTATATTTAACATAATACAAGAAAAAAGTTACTTTAATATAATAAAGTGTGTTGTCACAGACGTAGTTATTATGTAACTACAAAAAAATTTGCGATGTTTTAAGTTATTATCTAACAAATATTACGCGCAAAATTTTGTCGATCAAAGATTATAAAAGGCAAAAACTTTTTAACGGCGATATTTTGTCCTTGTAATCAACTAGCTTTTGCAAAGTTATTAGTGCGGAATAAAAAAATAAGTAGTTTATGCTTTATTCCAGACAGGGCTACACCAATGTATATCTAAGGTATCTTTCATCTAGATTCGTGCAGTCCCCGAGATATTCACCCATTCATCGTAACTTTCGCATTAATACATGTTAATGTAATAGTGTTTAATAGTGGTAGAGCCCGCTTAAACATCTTTGCACGAATGGGCCGGCTCGCCCGGTGTAATACCACGACCACACAGAAGACAGGCGTGAAGTGGGAGCAATTCCGCGTTTCGTCTGATGAGTGTGGTGCCGGAGGCCCAATTTTAGTTCCTTTCCCTTTCCACCCT